GCTTGATACTACAAAAATGAATGGTAGGAAAACCTCTAGGAAAATCGTGTTCTTGTCTAAAAACGTACCTTTAATTTGTGCGTTGTCAGCCCTCCCCAACGAGTCCCGAACCCTTCAGAGACTGGTCTCAACCAGCGGTGACTTTATCCTGCTATCAAATCTAAACGTCTGTGTCTCTCCTTTCCTAATTAATTTAAAACCACCGGTGGGTTTGGCGCATCCCATCCATTCATGGCAAGCTTTCGTCGGCGGCGTGAATCTCCAACGTGACTCACTAGTGGCATATGGCTTCGTGAGCTCGATATATTTTCTTCGCAAAGACCCAGAAGTCTGAACTTGCATCACAAGCCCCTCCCCACGCGCTCGATAGAGCGATTTCATTCGTTGTCTGACGAAACGTTTGCATAATTTGACTATAAATAGCATTTTTGCCTAATAAGGACATGACATCGGGCCACAATTTGCAAAGGCACAGGTTTTGGAGACTTGCCAAATATGAATATCAAGCGGCGGGGCACGTCGCTTGTGTGCTAGAGGTCAAAGATTATTTTTTTGGGGGGGGGGGGTCTTACGTGGGCAGTGGGTACAAGGCAAGTATGTACACGGTGAACTTTTACTGAGTGCGCATGCGCGTGAAAGGTACCTAGTTACACATAGCAACACGTGATCATAGGTTTCGAGCGCTTTGTGTGAAACATTTTCGACAAAATATAATGTTTGCTGGATAAATTACTTGAAGAGTGAAGAGAGTATCTTTGCGTATAGGCATACAGAGCACAGTTCATATTTATGAGCAAACGGAGGCATTATCTAAGCATTTCTGCTTGAAAATGTTGCATTTGCGACCTATGTCGATGACTTGTTCGAGTTTCGTGAAAATAAAGTAGATGTAAATTTACTCAAGTTTCTACATGAGAATGGAGTATTAGAGGTGTGTTGCAACATATGGACACACTTCATGCTAGGTTCACACATTCCCGAATTATTGCCACGAATACCCCGATCTATTCCGAATAAAAAATCTTGATTGCATCCAGAGAAATCAGCTCTGATTTGCTGTTTGTAATTTTAGAATTTTAGAAAAAACTTTAGAATGAAACAAAAATAATCAAGAACTAGGTACGAAGTGGAAGCCGAATCAGACCGATTGCCATGGAGACTTTTTAAATAATCATTATTGTGTTTGGCTGTACTGTGGAATAATTACTGAATTTCAAGCAACTTGTGTTATATATAAGAACAATATTCTCCAATTTATCTTCCCATAAATTAAAACAAAATGCTAGCTTCCAGTATTTAGTAATTTTAATCAAGTGTTATTTCATAATTTACTATACTTATTACTATTTATCATTTTTAATTCTCCAAACCACCAGTTTTTCGTGAACAAAGTTACAATAGTGCAAAAGAAGCATATTGCAACTATTATTCTACACTCATGATATAAATTCAGACCCAAAAGACAATGGGGTCACCTCTGACCTCCATTTCTTTTTTCTATTGGCAGCCACAACAATGATACGACTGCATAGAAGGCTGTGGACCTGATTTTTTTAAGTAAAATATATATATTTTTTTAATTTGTAGCAGTAATGCACTCTTGTGCACCAGCTGTTGTGATGTTTGTCCGACGTGCCTCTTATTATTATATTCTGTTTCGCCTGCGTCGGCTTCAAAACAGAAGGAAATTGAGATCAGATAAAATCGTCTTTGGAGTCTGATTTATGACATCCTGTAGAACAATAGTAACAAATAAACTTGTGTTTATTATTTAGACTTGGGACATGAACAGTTGGCATTGGTTATGTAATAGTGGTAAATGGGTATACAAGGTTCACTGACCTCTCAAAGTTCACCATGGGTCAGATAATTATGAACTTTCCATACATTTGAGAATTCATATCATGGCAAGAATTCATATCAATACTTTAGATATGGGTCGTGGAAAAGTTGGGTTTGAATAACATATCTTATAAATATCAATCAATAAGGCATACAAAGTTAAAGTTGGTGTATACGAGCTTTTTAGGTGTTGCACCCTGAAAAATTAGATTTTCAAATCTAATTTATAATTTCCTAGCATTGTTTGTACAAGTTATGAGCCTTCCAATGAGATATCGCACGAAAAAAATTGCCTACGGCAACCAATCAATTGATTTATTTCAACTTTTGAATTAGGAGCGTCCTGCTTTTTTTCATTGACTTGAATTCAAACCGGTAATATTGTGCCGCCGCATACAGTACTGGTTACGTATGTAGCGTGCGGTGTAATAACATGCGCAATCTCGGCCCCTATATGCGTGTACGTCGCTTCCAATTGGCCAATTTTCATAAACTTGGTGTCAAAATAACCGCAAGACATAAAAAAAGAACTTGTCAGAGAAACTTGGCATGATTATAAAAGTACATTGCGACGATAGAAGTGGAAATGTACATGGAAGGGGTTGCGGCCACGCCCCCTCCGCGCTCTTTGCACCGCTATTAAGTAAAATAGTTTGACCAAATACAAGTTAGATTAAGTTCCAAGGCATCAACGAAAATACTTTCATTTTCTCATTCCAAATTCTGTAGTAGATCTGTGCAGATTCAATTCCTTCTATTAGTCGGCACTCTCATGCAAGCTGCCATATACATATCAATGTACATTTTCAATGGGAAAAGTAAACATTTAGGCCTACCTGTTTTGGAAAATTGACATTTTGTGACAAACGTAGCCCTTGTTTTTATAAAGTTGGTGGCAAATAAATGCAAGACGTCAGAACAACTATCGGAGAAACTTGGCAGGATTTAAAAATTGCTTTGCGACGATAGTAGCCAAAATGAACACGGAAGGGAGTTGTGGCCCCGCCCCCTCCACGCTTTTTTGCGCCGCTTTTAAGTTAATTAGTCTGATTTAAAATTACTCTTAAGCATTTTCCTAATCTACAAGTTCCAAGTTATCAAAATGATACTGGTTTTGATATTGTTCTCAAAATTATGTTAAAAAACTCGGCATCATTTGGCATGGCGCCAATGAGCTCTGATACAGCGAAACTTAACGCTCGCCATTCTGTGATCAGGGTCGATAATACTATGATTTAAGACAATCAGGGGATTTGTTCCCAAAATTTGGATTAAACCTTATCCAGCTCTTAGTACATTCTGATCACGTGCTCTCCGCATGTGACTAGGCCTTATCAGATTTAATTCGTAATAAGAAATTAATAATTCGTAATGAGGAATTAGTAATCTGTAATAACGAATTAAATAATCCGTAATAATGAATGAAATAATCCGTTATAACTAATTAAATAATCCGTAATAACGAATTACTAACATAATTTATACTTGCAGCGACACTAATTGGCTTTCGTAGAATGGCATGGAGAGGGCAAATTAATATGTATTGTCAGACACAAAGGAATTCAGTGACCGCAAACTACGCGACCTGGAACCGGTTCTACCATGGGGGCTAAGAGGGGTTTTCCCTCAGCCCACAGATGGTCCTAGAAGAAAGTCGCCATCGTCGCGTCATGAGGTGTCAGGTTACGTAACATTAAAGATGCATTGTTTCGAATCCCTATTGGTTTTGTACACGTTTTTCTTCAAACCACACACTTTTCCACTTCTTTATGTCCGATTGACTTTGCACTTGTCAGACACTAGTAAAACCAGCAGCCTAAGATGGTCCCCAGTGAGTTCGTAACGATGACGTCGTCATGTGTCACGTGACATGACATTAAATGAGCATTTCTTCGAATCGCTATAACTTCGGAAGTACAAGTCTGATTGGATTAAAACTTGGTATGCACATTCACAGGGACGTGTTATAGATGAAAATTGAAGTGACGTCATCATCAAATGTCATGTGACGTCCCTTAATGTTCGATTTGGTTGTAACTTGACATGTACGTATTATAATGTGCTGTTTTAGATGACATTTATAGTGACGTCACTAATTATTCGTCACGTGCACAGAGTATTTCAAATATCCAAAACAGCTTGTGTTTGTCCACAAACACATTTCTAGTTTGTGCATTGCTATCGTTTATGTATTGCAGCATTGGTTGTGCATTGCTGTAGTGTTGGTTGTGCCTTGCTGTAGTGTTCTTGTATTGCAGCATTGCTCTGTGCATTGCTGTAGCGTTCATGTATTGTAGCAACTGGTTGTGCATTGCTATAGCGTTCATGTATTGCAGCATTGGTTGTGCATTGCTATCGGCGTTCATGTATTGCAGCATTGGTTGTGCCTTGCTGTAGTGTTCCTGGATTGCAGCATTGGTTGTGCATTGCGATAGCGTTTCTGAATTGCAGCATTGCTCTGTGCATTGCTTTAGCGTTCCTGTATTTTTAGCATTGGTTGTGCATTGCTGTAGTGTTCCTGTATTGCAGCATTGGTCTGTGCATTGCTATAGCGTTCCTATATTGCAGCATTGATTGTGCATTGCGATAGCGTTCCTGTATTGCAGCACTGGTTGTGCATTGCGATAGCGTTCCTGTATTGCAGCATTGCTCTGTGCATTGCTTTTGCGTTCCTGTATTGCAGCATTGGTTGTGCATTGCTGTAGTGTTCCTGTATTGCAGCATTGGTCTGTGCATTGCTATAGCGTTCATGTATTGCATCATTGGTTGTGCATTGCTTGTGCATTGCTATAGCGTTCCTGTTCCTGTTCCTGTAATGCAGCATTAATGAAGAATAATTTCACGGGGAGTTTATTAACTTCCCCATTTGCTCCCCCATTTACAATCCCTATTTCCAGCGTCAGTTACGTGTTTGGATAAACCTGCCAATGATCTTATGTAGCCTCAATCCTGCAAATTACCATTAGTTCTTGAATATGGTCCCGGAGTGTGACCGCTCCCTGAGTCATGCAAAATCCTGCGGCAGTGCACGACTGTCAATATGTTGAGGCTCCAGTGAAATCCTGGAGCAGTATGGATGATTTCAAGCATAATCCAGGTCTATATTAATGCTTGGCAGAGCAAAAACAACACAAGGTTCAGCCCAAGACCTTCATGAAGTGCATCCTACGAAAGCAGTAACGCACATCTGCCACGTAACCTCAATCCTCCAAAGGCAGCTATAGTGCCAATGGATGAGGAAGGAAAACGTGAAAAAACATTCCCTAGCTGTGTTTGTTTATGGTGGTTGACATGTGATGGCAAGAACAATGGGTCGGCTGTTTCGTTTCTCGGGTCCATTTTCAACATTGAGCGTTTTCGGGAAGTGTGGCTCTTTATAACCAACCTACGACGCTGAAATGAGGCAGCTCACCGCGACGACGATGCATGTCTTGTGGGTCCTTGTGGCCACTTGCCTGGTGCGCCAGAGCGGGGCGTTCCTGCCAAGCAACGCCGGCGTTTCGCTACCCGTGACCGACTACACCCTCACGGACATCACGGCGCAGGGCATCGTGCGTGCCGTGGCGAGGTACTTCGAAGATACCAATCCGGATCGGTACCGTAAGGGCGATCTTACGGGACTCAATCCCTTGACTCCTTCGCGGTTGTTTCAGAGGCACTACGGAGGTAAGACCCATGCACACACAGTCATATAGCCATGTAAATGATATTTTGGGGCTTTGCACGGCGGATATAGTTCAACTCAAGAGAAGTTCGTGGATATCCGATAATTTTGAGATGACTAATAACTATGAAAGAAACGCGTGATTCTAAGAAAACTAACACTGTGATATTAGCTCGACGTACGAATACCTACTGTCCACAGTCACTTCACTTTTCGAATCTGTCAATTTCTCAGGATGTTTAGCTGACTTAACAACAAGAACGGTTGTTGGGAATGCCTAACTGACAAACAATGAATATGTTTGACTCTTTATCACAATAGTTCCTTAACTTGTAAACCATACAAACAATGTTTTTTTTAGAGCAATGCACAGAGTTAGGGTTCAGAGTTCAGAGCCATTGAAATTTAATAAAATGAAAATACTTTTTTTGCAAATACTCTTTACTGTAAAGCTGAAAGCATCTAAAACGACTTTGCATTTATAGTAATCCCAATTGGCACCGAAACGTCGATTAAATTGTTTTCATTTTTACAGTGACACGAACAGTCTTCTGAAACGCATGTTCATACGTGGCTTTATTCTAACGTCTTGTTATGTATCCTTGGCTGTTTTTGTGCTAGATTGTGTATACTCCACCAAATTTGAACGAGTCATCAAAGCCATACTGGACGCGAACATTCAGATATCTAACAAATACTCGCACAGGGCAGTCTGGCACTTTAACGGAAACCAAATTGACAATGGTACGTATAAACCTTTATATACGTTGCTATCGATATTAACCAGCTTTCAGTATCTTTGTATGATTCAAACGAGCCCCAGCCCCCATCAAGCCTGCACCTTCACCTTTCGACCTAAATTCATAGCTGGTAATTGATAACATGAAAACAACCTAGGTTCTTTTGTTATCACCTCAGACTGTTGGTTCTCCTATATACACCATAGGTCCTCCCTCTACTGAGACTGCAGCCCTACTGTTCCACTTAAGTGGGCACACCAAGCTTGCTCTAGGCTCCGAGCTACTTGGCATCCACACAGGATGCAACTTCACACTTAATCGATTTCGCATTTGGTACCTATGTGTTTACTTTCTTAGACTTTAGGCGCTCTCCTGAAGACGGTCAGAACATACTGACTGGAACGTCGAGTTCATACCTCTGGTTCTTTTCAGAACCATTCTCTTAGTTTGAGAAATTATTCCCACATGGTGTTTCCGAAAACCTTTCATTCATGAAAACCACCTCTTTTGATTTTCACCAAAATAGCCAATGCTGACCATTTATCATGCAGTATTTTTGATTGATCATATTCACAAATGTCATGTTTTAAAAATCAACTAAGAATTCTTAAAGTTTACGTTGTTCTGTATGATAGGCCTAATAATTGTGACCCCTTAATGTCCCTATAAAAAGTCCAGCAAAGCGCAGAAACAGTGTTCAGAATTCCTGTTAATGTAAGGAGACATTTTTTTGTTAGAGGTTAAAAGGTTATACCATAGGGAGACACCGAACATAAGGGAGACATTTCAATGTGTCCCGAAATGTCACAACTCCTAGGTAGAGGCAACATTTTAATGTCGCAAATAGGCTAGATCTATTGCTCGTGGTCCATAACCTAAATGATATAAACCAACATTTGTTGGGTAGGATAAGGGAAAATTGGGGTTAGGGGTCATTAAAGTTGGAAACATTTTGAGCACTACCCTATGGGAATGTCCCCAAAGGTACCATTCCCCGTAATAATAATTATCTTAATCATCACGCCATCAAATCTTTTCGGTATTCCAACTGGGCGTGCGCCCATCCCAAATTTGACATTGCGTACACAGTTCTCCATAATATAGGTTTTCCCGTCCAATTTCGCACCCTGAGCATTCAATCAAACAAAATGTTCATTCAAATCCGCATAAACACGGGCAAGCGTTTTCACACTTGGTTCATCTTCTTAGCGAAAGCTCAAAATATTTCAGGGTATTTTATATTTACCTGTAAAAAGTAGACAGCAAATTAATTAGTTTGTGCATTTAATTTGGTGAGCTTTAGATTTCAGTCCCGCTCAGGAATTCAATCTTGTGCATTTACAAAAGTAACACATGCACCGTGAAATTAGGCAGTTGCATTATATGTATGTTCTACATACATATAATGTATATTGTATATACTTTTAAAACAGAGACTAAAATTACAGAAGTTATGAGGAAGATGTTAGAAGTCCAGGGACTTATGAAACACTCCATTGTACCACCCCCGAAAGAAAAACCTATTGTTCCCGTTACGCCCAACTACCCCACCCCACCCCAACCTAAGAAAAATAAAGGCAGGATTTTTTTAAGCTGTCACGCTTTTTTGTTTTCACTGAAATCACGGATCGTGTGTAGGATCCGTGATTTCAGTGAAAACCAAAAAGCGTGACAGCTTAAAAAAATATAAACGACTGTTTTTTAATAGCTCTAGTAAAATGCACTGAGCGTACTTGCCTTAATTGGTTTAGATGCGTGATAGCGGGCATACGTTGGCGCGTAATCGCGAATTTTCCAGGTATACCATTGTGTCGGGGTTTTGCATGACATCTAAAACGGATATATTCACAAACTGTAAGCAAAACTACTCTTTATGTAAGATATAATTGTTCCAAAATAAAAAGAAAATACTTCGGGATATAGCAGATGGTATTGTACAGTTTTTGTCGTCATAGATGAAGTATTTACCTGGGAAATAAACGTCAAATTTCGAGGAAAACATCGAAATTAATAATATAGGCTTTCTTTAAAAAGTTTAAGAGAGATGTGATCTTGAACCGCGCCGATGAAACAAAAGCGACATTTCATTGTTCATTTAAAAGCTAAAGATATTGTGCTCGGCATTACCATGGTTATGTAGTTATCATTTATCGCAATTCAATAATAAAGACCAAAAAACGTAGACTCATAAATATTCCAAAAAAATAATTAGCTGGCTTGACAGACTTCGACACCATACCGGGCGCACAGCCCTGCAAATCTGAAAGCCGCCGCGCGCAGCTTGCCACCATTACGAGCCGTTATCACGCGTTTAACCAGGAGTTTGGCCGAGTCGTTGTAGGATCCGTGCTGAAGTCAACCCAAATATATCGTAAGGATGTTACCCGCACTTTCGAACGTTTAGTCATCCCTTGGAGGTCAAATAAGAAAGCGTTAATAGCTTATTTGTTTGTTCTTGGTTTTAATGGTAGCACCATGTTACAAATCTCTTTTGTGAGTTTGTGAGGTTCTGAAAAGAACCGGGGAAACTTGTTTCGGACAGTACGCTCTGCCAGTCGTCAGGAGGCTCAGGGATTCTGAAGGGTGGTTATGCTGTAGAAGTGAAGCGTAGAGGCCTGATTTAGCAGGTTGTTGGCAAAACTGTTGCCAACCTATATAGCTTGCATGTAGTTTATGCAGCTTCATGGCCGCCAATATAAAACGTCGTGACTGAATGCTTGTGAACAAAAGAAAGTGTCCCGTCTTCGAACATCCCCCACCCCAAGGTAACCGCAAGATGATGGGCATCCAGGACACCATGCTGACCCTCCTTCTGGCGGGAGACGAGAGCACGCCTGACTACGATGTGGCGCGCCAGTACTGTGGCCAGTTACTGCACATGGCTCAGAGCTTCTACTCCAACACCAACTGGATCGAGCTGCACCGATGGCTTAACGAGGATCCCGATGAAATCTTCACCTCCAGTGAACTAGGTAAGAGTTTCATCTTTCTTTACTCCGATACGAAGGCAAGGAATGGCGTGTTAAACCACTCATAACACACGGGTTGAAACCCACAACGCGTTTTGTTTGCAAGGAAAACATTGTCATTGCGTATCTGCAAGTTTTGGCAGCAGGTTAAAATCTACGAATCGACCAGCTTCGAGGAAGATTTTTTAAAGAAAAGGACTGGTGGCAAAACGATTTTTTGCTTAGCTCTCCCATACCTTTACTTAGCCGAGCGATCGTTGAAAAAAACTTTCCAAACACTATGCATCCGTCGACCAATTTGTTTTTGAAGGGGGGGGGCTGGGTCAGGGGATATACCCGGAAGCGTTTCCACCCACGGCACGCTGTGGTTCCGAAGCAAATGCCAAAACGCACTTTTCCTCTTATTATATAACTTTTTTTTTTTTGCTTTAAAGGAGCAACTTTAAGAGCATGCGCCCATTTGTGCTCGTAAACGCGTTTTCCATGCCCAAATTGTTAAGAACCGGATGTAATCACGGATCATACACGCATGATGGTCATTGATGTTATCAAACGGGGTTTTCCCCCTTTTCCCCCATACATGTAGTCCATTGCGTGCACTTCCTGTCATCCTGACCTTTGATTATGCCTATATTTAGCCATTAAAACTCTATTCATAGATAATTAAGACAGTTTATCCATTCCAATAGGTCGATAGCACGCCATGTGGCCGGTTTTAAACGGTTTAAAGAGACCACGGCTAGTCTTAAACACTTTTCCAGTGTCGCATGAAATTTGGACTCCTATGCAATCCGGTGTTTTATTGGTTAAACGTTCACCATCCTTACGTAGGTATGCGCAATACTACCAGTAAGTCAGTATTTCATAGCCCTAAATTCACAATACACCGGCACAGCTGCGTTCTGCGCACCACATCGCGCAGTACGCGCAACACACGCGCCAATCTCCATATGGGCTTTATTCACGAACGGCCATATTGGATTGAAAGCGAGATACAATCTTCATTTTTGGAACTTGTACAGAGAAACGATAGCTACGACAAAAAGTTAATTACATTAATACCAGTCTGCTCTGATAAATTAAAAATTTAATACGTAACAATTAATAATAAAAATTGTGATTAAACATACCCTCGTGTTTTAAGCCACATTTTTTTTCAAAGTGATACTAGAATGCATAAAAAAAGTCTGGCACTATCCCATTCAACAGTTCACAATTTATAAAATACATTCATGGAACACGACAAAAATGGCTTCTCGAGAATAAAGTCCTAAAGGGTGCACACCGGTAAATAGGCCTAAATCCATCCGCCGAGCTCATGAATAAAAGTTATTCTATATTAGAGAGTTCTGAGAGCCATAACATTAGACAATTGAAGAGATATGGCAATGAACCTCTGGCCCGGACTGGGGGCTTCCAATTTTGAGCATTTTGGATACAATTGGGCTCGAAAGTGGCGCTATTTTGCCTTGTTGTGGAGGGATCGATTTTCAAGATGGCTACCGTTCCGCTTTGGGGAAAATAGGGGTCATCTTCGTAGAGTGAGAATTCCTCGAAAAGTCAATGGTCAACCCACCAAAAAATGAAAAGAAAATGATAGATGACATGTTGATCATCATTTTTCTGTGCAGCTTAAAAACATGTAAAAATTATGAGTATTTTTAAAAGAATTTTGAAGTATGGGCATTTAGCCCCGGTGTCTATGGGAATTTTAATGCAAGGGTGCACCCATAAGGAATTGTTTACGACTTCTCGTAAAATTGTTGAACAAAATCGTTGAAAATTTATTTTTTACTTGTTTTGACTTTTGGACCGAAAAGTTTTTATTTTTAATTGGAGTCTGGATGCTAATAATTACCCTCGCTTTCAACACGGGTAATTATCAGCATCCACACTCCAACCGGTCTTAAACATAATGCTTAAACCCGCCAAGCACACATTTATTGCCTTAATCAGGACAAGCGATTTGCAAATTTTGCATAGCAATACTTGAGCACACTGAATGTTGTATGTATGTATAGTCCAGTTTCGTGAATAGCAAAAGTAACAGCAAAACACAAACAATTAAAGTATCCTTAAAGGGAATGTACAACATTTGCTTTTGCTGTAATTTTCAGAAATAAATGGATCTGGAGGATAAGTGTGTTACAGAAAATATTGTTAAACTGACTTGCTTCACGTTTTGGGTTTGGAGATGCTGGAAAATCCAAGAAAACTAACCAGGTTCTTGTAGTCTGGTTCCCTGACCCCACTTAAGATGAAATGGAGCAACTTGTAGACTTTGGGAAATCGTAGGGTCAACGAATCTGTCTAGCAGGCTCATACCCATTCACAAGTGTGTAATCAATTGCAAAGAAAGTGCAGAATAACTAAATATGAATAATTTGGAGCAGTTTTTGAAGAAAAGCCAGAAAAATAGAAGTTTTCTTGAAAATTTCAGCACGCCGGGAGCCACGATTTTACAGGATGCTTTAAACAGTCATTCCCTAACAATCCAGTTTAATTTTGTGTGATAATTTGATCATTTCGTGTTTCGATGTTTGCAAATGTTGTATCTTCCCTTTAAAGCAGATCACATGCCAGATTGCCCGGATGTGACACGGGACCAAGATTCTTTCGATATCGACTGATTGTAATCTAGATCCGTGTTATGATGCCAGATGACCCGGATTTGCTTTGACCTTATGTTGAATTTCGATTGGCAATCAATTTATGTACTTAGGACGTCAATGATCTTGCGAAGAGAAACGAAAGCAATGACATAAATTTAATTACATTAATACCAGTCTGATCTGATAAATTATATAAAATTTGTGATTAAAGATATAGTCCATCATTTGTAATTTGTGCATTTTGTTCGTTTGAAGCAACAAAATTGTTCAAAATCTAATGAAGGATACTGAACAACTAACCCGATGAAGTTTCATCTCAGCTTCAGCTGTATATTCTGGGGAAAAAACAGCATTCTAGGATCTCAATTTCAGATCAAAAGTTGCTGATTCATGTTTTGAAGACATCACTGAGCCGATTGCAGCTCATACGCGATGTCGCGCTCTGATCCGACGAATTATAGCAACCGCGCGCGCGTGTGCGTCGTGCCAATGCTTACGCGCGCTTCGCCGAATAACAAAACGAACTACTAATTTAAATTTTCCTACAGTGCGTCTTTAGACGCACCGTTGGAAAGGCCTTCTTTTGTTGATTTCTTCGAAATGACAGCTTGCTAGAAAGAATGATTTCACAGGGAGTTTAGTCCCCTTACTATCTTTCAACCAAGGATGTTTTTCAACAATACTTACGCCAGTTACTTTTCGGATGGCTGCAAATGATGGACTATAGCTTTAAACATACCCCTCGTAAGTGTTTTAAACCACATTTAATTCTTTTTTAAAGTGAGGCTAGAATGCATAAATAGTCTGACACTGTCCCATTTCAACAGTTCAAAATGCATTCAGGGAACACGACCAAAATGGCTTCCTTGTGAATAAGGTCTTAAAGGGTGCACACCGGTAAATAGGCCAAAAATCCATCCGCTGAGCTCATGATTTAAAGTTATACTCTCAAAATAGTCTACATTAGAAAGTTCTGAGAGCCATAACATTGGGCAATTGAAGAGATATGGCAATGAACCTCTGGCCCGGACTTGGAGCTTCCAATTCTGAGCATTTTGGATACAATTGGGCACGAAAGTGGCGCTATTTTGCCATGTTGTGGAGGGATCGTTTTCAAGATGGCTACCGTTCCGCTTTGGGGAAAATAGGGGTCATCTTCGTTGAGTGAGAATTCCTCGAATAGTCAATGGTCAACCCACCAAAAAATGAAAAGAAAATGAAAGATGACATGTTGATCATCATTTTTCCGTGTAGCTTAAATACATGCAAGAGTTCTGACTGAGTATTTTTTAGAAGAATTTTGAAGTATGGGCATTTAGCACTAGTTTTCTATGGGAATTGCAAGGGTGCACCCTATAGAAAATATCAAACATTGCCGCTCTGCGCATGCAGCGGCAGGGGCTTTTGAGTGGGCGGAATCTATGGGGAAGGGGTGCAAAAGTATTTTAAAGGTGTCAACAAGGGCTGATCCGCAGCAGATGGTCCCAAATCGTTTGGGAGCCGTCGGTCATCAGTCGATTACAGCAATTGCAAATAAAAGTGGGGGGGGGGGCATTCTGAGCTTCAAAGTAGCTGTGGAGGGATCGATTTTTCAAGATGGCTTCCGTTCCGCTGAGGCGAAAAAAGGGGTCGTTTTCTTTGGGCGAGAATTTCTCGAAAAGTCAATGGTCAACATAACAAAAAATAAAAAGAAAATGAAAGATGACATGTTGATCATCATTTTTCTGTGCAGCTTAAATACATGTAAGTAATAATAATTACCCTCGCTTTCGACTCGGGTAATTATCAGCACCCAGACTCCAACCGGTCTTAAACATAGTGTTTATAACCGGCTAAGCACACATTTATTGCCATAATCAAGACAAATGATTAGCAAATTTTGCATAGCAACACTTGAGCACACTGAATGATGTATGTATAGTCCAGTTTCGTGAATAGCAAAAGTAACAGCAATACACAAACAATTAAAGTATCCTTAAAGCAGATCACACGCCAGATGACCCGGATGTGACACGGGACCAAAATTCTTTCAATATCGACTGATTGTAATCTAGATCCGTGTTATGATGCCAGATGATTCGGATCTGCTTTGACCTAATGTTGAATTTCGATTGGCAAACAGTTTATGTACTTAGGACGTCTATGACCGAAGTGATTGCGAGGGGGAAAAGCAAGCGGTATGCGTATCTTCGCCACATGGTGCTTCTCCAAAACTAGCAAACCTTACTTTCAATAGCTTTTTTTAAATAAAATCATGCACGGCCTCTTGGCGAGAGGGATTAAAGGAAATGGCATGGAACGCGGAAAATGAGATACATGTAAATCGCGTTTCCCACTGAAATAAGGTTGAATAAAGAAATTGACTAGTATATAGAGAGTGCGTTCGATTACTTCCCCCGCGCTTTACTCGTGCAAGCGCGACAGCGTTCGATTTACCTCTCACGTGAGTTCTCGTGCTTACTCGAGCCTGGCCCAAGTAACCGACTCGCCGAGCCGGTTATTTGGGTAAGTATCCCATAAGGCCATGCAATAAACATGGCTGCCAACGTGACGTCCGGCGGGCGCCTCAGGCCGTGTCCGAAACGTGCTTCTGGAGCTACGGCTACGTATTATTGTCAGCGCGTCCCCGCGTATTTTCAATGGGCGCGGACCTAGACCTAGCTGTTGATTCGGATGCAGCCCACAGTGTCATGTCAAAGTACAACTTCTCAGCTCTTGCACGAAACTTTACCCAAAACCGTTCGTTTATTTAGCTTCGCTGCGCATGTCTGTCATCACGCGAGGAGCCAGGCGCGAGTAAGCCGGGGGAAGTAATCGAACGCACTCAGAGCGGGGTTTGACCCTGCGACCTCCGGATTACCGTTCCGGCTTCATTAACTAAGCTATCGCGCAGTCTTGTGTTGGCGGCTCCCCATTTAGTCAATGTCTTTGTTTAAGAAATATCTTTGTTGAATGATATCAATAGTTTGATCTTTTAAAGCATTCTCTTGGGGAAGAACCGCTTTTAAAAGATGTATTTCAATAATCCTTTTAACATTTTTTTCAATTTTCTTTTCTAGGTATACTTGATCCGCTGTCTTTGCGCCAAAGCCCGGAGAGCGAAGGCATGTGTCAAAACTGTGCCGGAAACATTGCACGGTAAGTCGTCCGTGAAACGCCAACGAAAAATGAGCCGAAAAAGATGAGTGCTTCAAATTCGCTAAAAGAACGGTGCTTTGGATTATGTCAAACGTATCAGTGATTCATGAAAACCAGAACGAGGTTTGCGAGTATTAGATTACAATGTGAAAGCTTTATATACTGCAAACACTTTTTGTTTTTTTAAAAGCCAACATTCTTATATCAGGGGTGGATCTATAGCTATTAGGAAACGCATTCAGACGGGGAGGGGGTGTTTGATATTTGAGTGAAAGCATGCCCTCGTTATAGGGGGTCAGGGGGCATTGCCCTTCCCCCATTCCTCAGGAAATTTGAGAAACAAATCGTCACCGTTTTCACGAAGGGGCGAATTTCATGAAAATCGTCTGTTTTTCGAGAAAAAAAATTGGTGAAAATGAATAAAGATATCAATATCTACAACCTGGTGAGGCTATACTTTCAAAAAATTAATTAAAATCTTAATTAACCTAATTAACGAATGGGCAAATTTGCCAAAAGTGCCGTTTTGCGTTTTCACGAAAGGGCGAATTTCCGCACTCTATGGTATTTAAATTTTCAGTAAATAAATACATTGTAATAAATTATAATAGCGCGTATATCACGAAGGGGCGAATTCCATGCGCGTGCGCAGTGGGGCAGAATCCGCGCGTACTGTACAATAAATGCATTGACTCAAACCGCAGAAGGGCGAAATCTGCGTGTAGTCACTTTAGCGTTTTCACGAAGGGGCGAATTTGCTAATTGGCCTTTTTTCGTTTTCATGAACAGACACTTCTCTTAGTTGATTAATTCTGCAAAACTAATCACCTATTTTTCTTAAAGTTTGCTACATTCAGGAAGATTAGAAGCTCTTCTTTCCTTTCATACCTAAATCTTGCATATTTTATGCATCTTTAAATTTCAAATTGTCAAATGAAAAAAAGGACCAACTTTAAACGCGATTATCTTGAAAGTTTGTTCAGACAGTAAAATACTAAATTCGCCTCTTCGTGAAAACGGTGACGAAATAGCAATTTATTTGTCAAATTTCATCGTTTGTTGGCCCCACTTTACTAGTATAATAAAAACAATCAGCGGTTGAATGGGGGGGGGTGTTAACAACCCTCCCCCTCCCCGATCCGCTACTGGCTATGCAATTATAGCTCAAAGTCATACGTCATAAGATGTGAAAAAACTTCCTCAAATTAATTCATGAATGAACTGACCCGATAAAAAGAAAACTGTAAATGTGATATAATCATTGGGAACATTGTAAAAGTTCTTTTCGTTTCTTGTTCTCGATTCCCCATATTTTTTTCGACAGTCCCGAACTGCAAGATTGCTCTGACAACCTTCGCCCCTACGTTCACTACCTTACCAGCGGCTACAGAAGCGGGCAGGATGTGACAAAGCCAGGTAAAAAATCACGTGCCTTATTCCTCACGGCCCAAATAAGATATAATTTCATTCAAGAATGCTTGAAGGGAATATACATCATTTGCTTTTGCTGAAATTTTCAGAAATGGATGGAATTGGGGGGTTGGAAATATATAGCAAATATAGTTACACTGACTTTTTTGAGGTTTTGGGTTCGAAAATGCTATAAAAACCAAGAAAAACAATCATTTTCCTGTAGTCTGGTTCCCTGACTCCATTTAAGAAGAAACAGAGCAGTTTACATGTATTGGGGAATTGTAAGGTCAGGGAACCAGTCTAGCTGGCTTGTACCCGTTCATAGGTGTGTAATCAATTGCAAACAAGCGCGATGGTCAATTGGGGCCAGTATTTGAAAAAAAAGCCAGTTTTTTCCAACGCTGATCGGCCGATCAGCGTTGGAAATTGATACAAAAATACCACTTTTCTTGAAAATGACAGTATACCAGGTGCCATGATTTTACAGGATGCTTTACACTGTCATTCACTAACAGTCCAGCAAGGTATTTCAAAATGATTTGGTAGTTTTATGTTTTGATGTTTGCAAATGTTGTATTTTCCCTTTGAATACTAAATGCTTTTCGTGTTTCTATCCGCAAAATTCTAAAGTCAAAATCCTATTTTTTTTAAATTACTTATATCGACGTGCAATTATGCTTTTCAATTGTAAGCAATTTGCAATGGCTTTTCCGTTCTAGTTGGATGTAATTGTTAGATTTTGTGCTTGTATTTTAGATTGTGCTTCATAATCAGAAGTAAACAAGAAAACTTGGTCGCGAAGTGGTTGCTATTTATCGCATCAACCCCCCCCCCCCCCCCAGTAATTTGGCTAGTATAGGGGAACCTTTGCACAAACATATACCATATGTGGATCACTTCTCATCAGAGTCTGTTTAGCAAAGTACGGAAACATGTGTACCACCATGACAGAAACGATTTATCTCTTTTGACAAGAAATATTAACGGTCCCACTGAACCTATACTTCTACCTATACTAACCTATACTTATTATGCATCAAGATACTATAATTAAATGAAATTAACGCAAGAATCACACTTCAAGCAATTGCTATTTGCTTGCAAATTAATGACGTCAACGGGACATTTTCGTTTTAAGCCTATACAATTAAGAATAGCAGAAATCGAAGAACATTTCAACCACAGGTGGGAGGAAACGTCTCCAATCCACTGTCACGCCTTGGTAGGATTCGAACCCAGGTCACTGGGGTGCTCCTACTCGACTCCCCAAATTGAACATTTATTCTGATATGTCAACTCGATTCTCACGCAGCTGCCGACCCAGAAAGTGATTGGGGGGCATGCTCCCATGGTGGTCTCTACGACACGTCCTGGACCGAGGTCGCAACTGGAGGCATCAACAAGGAATCCTCGGATCCACGGCGATCTCCGCACTACAGCCTCCACAAACAGGCCGCGCTGACGGCAATACAAGCCACTGAGGACTTCTTCTACCACCCAGGTATACCCAGGGGTGTGGCCAAAGCTAGGGGTGGGGACATTTGGGAGGTGTGATCAGATAAAAAGGGGGATTGTTCTAATGATAGAGGTGTGATAAAATACAAGGCAGTGTAGTCAATTAAGACGGGGCAGGCGCGGTTCTAGAGCCTATCTATTAGGGGGGCTAGCAGGGGTGGATCCAGAATTTTTGCAGGGAGGCGTGCTGAAATGTATACCTTTTTTGCTCCGGACACTTAGGCGTCTGAAAATCAATAGACTAGGGGGGGGGGGGAGCTCGAATCATATTTTCAATGTGGAGCGCTGACAGCATCCTACAATTTTGAACACTATCCGCTACATAAAGCCATTTCTATTATTGTTGAATATATATTTTAAAAAAGGGTGTGGTTCGATCAAAGGGGTGTGGCAAATAAAAGGAATTGTCCAAAAAGGAGTGTTTTCAAATAAAAGGGTTGTTGACCGATATTAAGGGGGCGTGGGCAATTAAAGAGGTAATAAATAGTGGCGTGGCACTGTGCAGTAGACATGTCCAGAAAAAGTGGGTGTGGTCAAATACAAACTCATTCAAGAGATATTCGGTGTGTGAAAATATACAGGGTGGGTCCAAAAACAACGAAAACCAAATGTCGGGACCATTGTTTTAGTGAAATTCTGCATGTAGCAATTTCAAAATCAAGGATATGAAAGCCCAGTTCATAAGCTTTCTTTTAGTATACAAATCATTCAAATCACTGATGTACTTTTGAAGTTACGGAATTTTAAATAATAATAATAATAATAATAACGAAGTTTTATAAAGCGCACATATCCACCAAGGTGCTCAGGGCGCTATTACAATGAAAACGAAATAAAACAAAATCAGTTTAATTACGAAAAACGGATCTTTCGACATGAGGTGTGTTTTGAGATACAACCACCCTTTTATAGTTCTGTCCACGGAACAATAGAAGGTAAGTGTTCTTTCAGCAGAACGAAAATAAATCACATAGGGATGTGTGTGTGAATTGTTTCGTTTTGCTGAGAGAACGCATACCTTTTTTGTGATCCGTGGACAGAACTTTAAAACGGTGTGTTTAAAATTCCGTAACTTCAAAAGTACATCAGTGATTTGCATGATTCTTGTACTAAACAAAAGCATATGAATTTGGCTTTCATATCCTAGATTTTGTGCTAAATGCAGAACTTTACTAAAACAGAAGTCCCGACATTTGGGTTTCGCTTTTTTTTTTACTCAGCCTGTATATTCTTATATCCAGACAGATTTCCAGCAATCCTGGATTGCAGTGTATTCCAAACAAAATTGTGGTTGTGCGAGAAACGGAGTGTGGTCACATTTAGGCTGTATCTTACTTTAACTTATATCAGGGCGAAGCAACTTTTTGGCTTCTTACACACGACGTGACCAAGTTTAGGATTATGATTCACCAAAGTCGGAGTCAAAGTGGGTTCAGCTGTGACATATACATAGTGTCAGGGTGTGGTTTGCATATTTTGATGGTTGCACCAAAAAACTGGGCGCGACCAAAATATTACGAGTTGCTGAAGAAGGAAAAAACGAACCCCCCCCCAAAAAAAAAAACCACAAACAAACACACACACAAACAAAAAAAACCACTGCTTTACCAAGATTGGGCTTTGTTTGCCTTGGAAGGAAATAAACTCATGACAGACGTACATAATCAAGACCAGTAAAAAAAGAAGACGATGACAGCAAGATAATGCAAGCTGTGGTATCAATACATTATGATCTAACGTCATTGCAAGTTTGGGAAGAGCTGCCATTTTTATTGCTTAACCAAAACCCTCAATTTGATTGAAAATAAACTTGTTTTCCACCAGAAACTGGTCTGTACAGGCACATTGGCGAGCAGAAATTCCGCAAGCTGCTGAACCTGGACGCAGGCACTTCGCTGACTTTCGTAATTGACGTTTCGGGAAGTATGTCCAATGATGTCGCCGCCGTGAAAGAGGAGACGATCCGCCTCGTGGGAGTGCACGCAGAATCGTGCCTGGCGGCCTCCAAGTACGTCTTCGCACCGTTTAACGATCCAGGTTTGTGGAGCAGAAACCAAGTAATTTAGGGTAATTTGTGTAAACCTTGGAATCGGAACAACAACTGGATCACGCACGAGCAAATATAGCAGCCAGTCATTGAACGAGTTATTATCAATTTCTGAGGGTTTTCCTCACTTGGCATCCCGAGGTAAATGTTATTTAACAGTGCCGTAATAAACACTATTGTTATACCTTTGTGTTACATACTGTATTTTTATTGGCCTAGAACGATAACGTGTTAAGTGTATAAAAAGTCATGGCACACTCCCCATCACGTACGTAATAATATCGTTGGTACCCACGCTATTTTCAACATGTTTTCACACATTAGTGTGAGCAGCGAACTAGCAGACGATCAACTGTTTTGAGCACTCGACATGCATGTGAGTTGACGTTCGATTTTCATTATTGTTATGTTTACTGCTGTTTGTTTTCGTGGTTTTTACATCACAATCCAAAGAATCCAAGACAGAGGTCTTGTGGCGCAAAGCACCCTCGGCTTCGCCTCAGGGTGCCATGCGCCACTCGGGTGTTCAAAACGTCATATCCCACATCACATCAGTCAACAATGGTTAAATGTCCAAAAGCAGAAATATCTGCTCCGTGTATCTATGAGGTGCTCATAGAGGTGCTCGCGCGCCTCATTGTTCGGTGCGAATGGCTGGATCCGGTCCTATCTGTGCATGAAACGTAATAAATCGGTGCAATATTACATTAAACATGCATCTTGCAATTGGTTAAGTACGTTTTTTGTTTGTTCCAGATTATCGCAGTTGAAACATGTTGAATCAAGACGCAGGCAGTTTTAATAGTTTATTACGTCGTCTTATTTGCATAGCCCTTATTACTCACCCCGTCAACTCCGAGATTTATTACCGGTATCTTAACTTGTTTATTGTTTCCATATGCCAACTTATCCAAACTTAAAAGTTGTAATTGCACTCCTGCAAGGGCCCTACTAATAGCGAATATACTCATTTCTGCGGGACAGATTACGGACCGGTCTTTGTAACCACTGATGATCAGAGATGTGTGGAGTACATCAACGCGCTAACTGCCAACGGCGGTGGTGACTGTCCGGAGTTGGCGAACAGTGGCTTGGAACTTGGTGTCCAGAACAGGTTAGAATCCAACCCCTTCCTGTATTAAACGGTATTCATTAATACCTAAGAGAGCCCGTCACGTGGCAGGTTTTAAACGGTTGGTAAAGACCGGCTGGCCGGTCTTAAACACTTTTCCAATATCACATGAAATGTGGACGCAACCGGTCTGAAACATAATTGTTTAAAACTGACCAAGCACACATGTATTCCTCTTAACACAACGCAGTTTTATCAATTAGTTTTTTGGTTAAGGTTTGGCATAATTTGAAGACTATTTATCGTGGTACCGATTAAAGATGATGTGTATTGATTACATTTTTTTTTAAAATATACAATTCACAGTGTACCAGCATGTGCATTGAAGAAGCTACACTATTCACTTCCTTACGGTTGATCATGCATCCTTCGTTATTAACGCACTATATTAAACAAACAAAATGCATTGGGAGTGCTCGCTATAATCTCATCGTGATTCACTCACTACTAAAATCCAACTTAAGTTACACTGGCTTACAAACCGCAACAAGGACGATCGAATCTCAATAAACACGATGTCCACTTCGACCAACTGATAGAGAGCGCCTCTGTAACCAGGGTGACGACGAGTTGAAAATGAACTTCTTAGGAACTTTTGAACAATGTTTTGGCTCAAGCGTATTACAATGCTCAACGGTTGACAACACACACGGTTTTTTTCGTAACCTTGGCTTCGTCTTCGGCTACGGCTTTGCCTCTGAATTCTGAACCACTGAGATGCCAACCAAACGGAATTTTCCAACTCTTGGTTTCGTATCAACCGACTGATAGTTCTTGAAACATTAACAGGCACCAACAAGAGTCCCCGGAGTTGCCTGCCGGCGGCCTTAACTTTTCTTAAGCCGAAACGAAGCCAGAGTTTTGAAAAGCCTATAGACAGTCACCATGCACGCAAACACGCCGAGCCAGTCGAATTCCTAGTCACGAACAACGTTACCAATGGAGATCAATGGTTATCGCTTACTCGTTGAGCCATGCACCGAACTTAAAGACAAACCACTTGGTTTTCGCCATGTTCATAAATTTGGCCAAAAAACGGTCATGTTGAACTGAGCGATTTCCTTCAAAGGACTCTGGAGTTAAGATGAGTCCTTTGATGTTTCTTTCAAGGAATAAAAACGAAATTTTAAAAAAGCGTTTCCACAAAAAAGATCGTTTTTGTGCGGATAGGGGCGTCATTGAAGGTTCTACTATACATGGCAAGTGCATTTCCCACGTGTCAGCGTACGGGATTCACTACACGATAAAACGAAGCAACTATACAGATTCTTTTCTAGAATTGGTCTTTCAATACTAGACTAATATAAACATTCGGTATAGAACAAGCGCTTGAATTATGCCTGCAGAAACAAGAAAGCATACAAATAACGACTGTAAAAGGGATACTTCTATTGTCACCATTTTGCACACTTCTGTTTTACGAATGGAAAAGACACACAGACCATCGTTCGCGCTCTTCTCATGCCCCCGGGTTACCGTGTGGAATTCCGTAGCCGCGCTTCAAACTGCAAGTAACACATAATGGTGCCTTATGCAAAAGAATTACTATGTGACGCGTTTTTTTGACTGTTTTCCTAACATGCATTGCAAAAATAACCTCTCCATGGTAACATTTTACCGGTTGCAGTATCAATGGAGCCAATGTGTACGTGTTCACAGACGCCACCGATAAGGACAGTGAGAAGGTGCCGGATGTCCTGGCTCTAATTGAGCAGAAGGAGGTCCGTGTCATCTATCTCTTAACCGGTACTTGCTCCTCCAGACGACGCAAAAGAGGTGAGATTAGGCCATAGACATGTTGAAAAAACCTAGACTGGTCATTCGCCCAAAATTTACGTTATCGAACGCTACCGCCATTTTACGTGAACGCCCATCAAAGGCGCAAGAACGCGCAAGAAGACGGTCGCACGACGAAGGGTCGGACTTCTTTGGTCGTCATTGTACGAATTCCTGCGGCGAGGATACATAGGCCGGAATTACTTTGCTGAAGGGGCGTAAATCCGGGGGGGATGGGGTTATATATCCCCTCACTTTTAGACCGGGGGGGTGGGCTATTGAATCATCCCCCCACTTTTTAGTGATGAAGTACAAAAGTTCTTAAAATGCGCTGTTTTGATGTAAGCGCGAGTATACATGTTGACATACATCTATATCCTGAAGAGCGTACCCTAGTGTAATGATGTGTCCCTGAGTGTTCCGTAGGCCCTACTCCGCCCTAGGCACCGGCATCAATTTCATGTCGATGCTAAGCTGTACCAAACAATCCAATCCACACTGTGATATTTTCGTAGGCCCCCGATTTTGTTGATAGCCCTCATCACAGTGCCTACTGTACCTATTGGATAATCCAGGCACAAGGACGGTGCTACTTCGTGAAAAAGTTTTGCTCGCATTTGAGTACTGTGCGCGCCATGCATTACAATGGTAAATGGAACTTGAGTACTACTTCGTGAAAACAAAAATTGTCACTTTCGTGAAAAAGTTGCCATGGATAATTAGCGTAATTATTACAGTAAAGCTCTTGAAGCTTTGAAACTTCGTGCAATGGTAGGCCTTGATGAATAATGTTTAAAAATGTGAAAACAATTTTTTAAAAACGACAAAATTTGGTTTTACACGTGGAGTGCTACTTTGTGGTGTAAGTGATGGTATGTTGAAATTGCTTCGCTGTGGCAGCGATAATATCGAAGACGGAGAATTCAACTCAGCAGCTAGATTTTTTTCACGGAGATCAACGACAAGTGCACGCAATGCTTCCTTCGTAAGTTGGGGTGGCCATGGCCACCCCAACTCCATGGCCACCCCAACTTACGAAGGAAGCATTGCGTGCACTTCACAAGACTATACTATTCGTTGATTGAAAAGCAGTTCCTTACCATACCACTCAAAATGACTATTGTCCTGATGACAGAGCTTTTGTTTATCAATGTTTCCACAGCGATTGATAAATCGAGTGTGTCAGCGTCCTTTGTAAGTATCGCCGCGGCATCGGGCGGGGAGGTCTACCGGACAGACAAGAGTGGGATCCGCGAACTGACACGAATCGTGGAAGGCGATATCCGAGCCTCTCAGGTATTATTTTAGACTTTAGAGGGTGGTATTTTTTTTTGAAATAGTTTAGGCATATTGATGCCTGTCCGGAACAACATTTGTCTGTATACTACTCTGGAATTTCATGGCATAAGAGTAGTCCTATTACAAAAAAAGTATCTTCTTTTATATTTTCTGAACCATACCTCGAAACTGTAAGTTGCTTTTTCATAGAGCTGGGGTGGGGAGGGGGGGGGCGATCCGCGCCTGATGAATGACAGGAATGAAACACTTAACGACAAGACCATGGGGTCGAATGCTTACTGAAGTTTCGGTGGTGACACAAAATGAAAATTTAAACCTTTTCCTTCGCACACCAGGTGAAAATAATCCAGAGGACTTCAAGGAGACATAATGCTTTGGATGTGGACATACCCGTCGATTCCACCATGAGGGAGCTCCTGGTGTCTGTTGTCGGGTCGCTGTCGAGTAACACCGTGAACATCATGAAACCCAATGGTATCGAACAGGTTCTTTTAAAATGTCTTGATACAGTTTGTCAAGGAAAGTATTAGAAAAGAAACGAACTAAAAGTGGGATGCATGTTTCCCTAGAACACCGTGCAAGAACAATAAACCCTTTCACTTTTCAGTGAACTACGGTGCAGGGAACTACTTTACAATGATGGTTGAGTTCAGCACTGCCCTCGTTATTAATTGCAATATCCAGCAGACACGTAGGCCTGTGAAAATAAAACATTACGTTAAAATGTAAACGTTAATTGTAAAAGGCATTCAATATACAATCCGGTTACGTACTTGGACGCTATAACAGAGCAGTGAAATTCATGCACCCCAAAAACATGGCCTTTTGAACGTTGTGTTACTCAGAAAATATGCTCAGTATGATTTAAATGTTAAATTATAACAAAAGAATAAATTCAAAACTTCATGTCATTAAAAAAAAAAATGCCGTCATCGATGCTGAAACGTCAATTCTGGTTACTGGTAATGCTGACCTTAAAGTCGATAAGAAATCGTTCGAAAATGTCCCCAAATTATGATGTAGATATCTCAATTTCTAGTTGTTGTTCTAGTTGTTGAACACTTTTGTCATCTAAGTATATTCCGAATTTCAGCTTAATCTGTTGTTGCAAACGCTTGCGTTACATCTTGAAAACTATCCCCATGGTAAATTTCAACGAGGATTTTTATGCCGACCAAATTAACTCACGTGCATGGTTTTCAAGTTGGCCGATTTTGGGGCAACAATGACGAAGCGCATATTAGCATATTCATTAGCGTCACTCGGCGTTAGTTCGCGTGGGTCTCGGTATCGACCAATGGAAGCCGACAAAAAGGGTGATATTTATTAATTAACAACTCGTGAACGAGGCTATTCTGCAAATATTTACTGCACACCATAATGGATAGGAACCTTATTAATATTCGTGAGGCTTGAAAAGATTTACAGATATTGCAAACACCAGTGGTACAATTATTTTTAAATGCACGTAGCCAGGCCTATTTTTCCAATTTCAACGAAAAGTACTAAACATATCAAAACGATTTTAATCACATAGCTGGATCATTATCAGGGAAACAAACCCTGAAAGTTGCATGAAGATACGATCTGCCAAACGAGAGAAATTAATTTCCAAAGATTTCGCCAGCCAACGTGAACATGTCTGTGTGCAATTTGTTTCATTCAAAATAAAGTATTATACGTAACCTTTATAAATCGGCCTTCGCAACCACGCGGCTGTTCTTATCACCATTCTGTGCTAATAGCACTAGCAGAGAAAAACATCTGCGCTTAAACCCTGTAAGCTCAGAATCATTACATTAGCGATAACGTTTCGCTTACTGTAAGCAGAGCCATAACATTGGCCCCCGGTTTTCTTGTTTAAGGTATGGAGGGTACCCCGAGCGAGATGGGGGCAAACGTTTACACCAGTTCGGACGTACAGCTTGTGTTCAGCATCAACGTTACCGAGCCGAACGCCAAGGGCAACTGGCTGCTAAAACTACGAGGATTGGATTTGTCAACGGAGTACAGCGTCAAAGTGTCAGCAAACAGCCATCTGGATTTCACCTTCGATATTCTGGAAACGGACGCGACAGGCACTGCGTTTCCCATAGACGGGAAACCAGTTGGGGGTGAGCGAAGGATAACTCTCTTTATTATTATTTCGTTCTTTCTGGTAAAGAAACCAAGGATTCATCCAAAGTGTCCTAGGCACTGTAACTCGAAAACCTGTAGAGAGAAGAAAAGAATGTCTTGTCTCCAAAAGATTCAGGGGGTTTGTACAGCCGGGGCGAATTAATATTAGCTCTATTTCTCATATTTCTTTTTGATAACATCATGTTCATTTTTTTAAAATATGTTTACAGACACAGACGCTTCGGTTAAGTTTTAAATGTAATCAAATAAATAGTTTTGATGGTACATTTGTAATTGTTATTGGTATATTTCACACGACCGGTCGTGAATAAGAACGTCTCCTTTAACACTTTCAATCGAAAGGAGCTGAGGTGTTGCTCATGATCCAAGTGTCAGCTCCGGACGCTGCGTCCTCCGTCAGCGAGATACGACTGCACAACTCGGCGGGTGACGCAACGCTCCTGACGGCAAGTGCTGAGCCAGTGACCGGTAGAACGGAAGGGTTATTCACGGCGAGTCTTACTCTTCCCACTGAGGTAAGTTGTTCATTTTCAGCTCGCATTGATCAATATATTAATCCTTTTATAGGTTAAAAAAAGTATTGTGAAGGAAGGACGCTCTGACGCAGTTTAAAATACATACTATTTCCCTGCTTTAACTTGTTTGTGCTCTATAAACATGAACTCTCTTATAAATTCAACACTTTAGATATAAGCAACCCCATCTAAAAAGAAAATTCAAAAATCAAGAGAGAAGATGCTTCCCTAGACTTTTTCGACTTCAGAGAAAACCTTCCTATGTATAAGTCATCAAATTGGAACCGATGTTGAGATTATATATTCAAGTGTGTTTGACATGCTTAAGATTTGTTAATAATTTTATTACAACTTGGCTTTTCAAACTCTGGAACTATTCATTGCTTGTCCTTTTTTGGGTTCAGAAAGTTTCTGATTTCCTTAGCGCTGGTGTGTGAACTTCTTTTTTTTCTTCAGCCTTTTTTTGTCAGCATTGTCGGACGGGACACTCAGGGCAGGGAATTACTCCGCACCCAGCCGTCTGAGATCACAGTCGTAAAATTCAAACTGGAGCAACTTCCCAGCAACAACACTATAGGTTAGAGACTTTTTGGAGTTTCATTTGAGTAAAAAAAAGAAAAAAACGCGTACCGTTTTCACGAAGAGCGAAAGTGCATTTTACCCCACTACGCCACTGCGCGTACAGCGCGTACCGTTTTCACGAAGAGAGAAAAGTGAGTGCGGGTAGGGCAAAACACGTTTTCGCGTTTTTACGAAGAGAGAAAGTCGTGATTTTATTGATTTAAACTGATGTTGATAAAACAGAAGTTTGCCAGGATGTTCGCTGTTGTTCACTTATTCAATTAAGACCAAAAACTGAATTTCGAAAATATGAAGATTTCTGGCCACATTTCTCTCTACATGAAAACGGTGACGATTACAGTTGTGTAAAAACAATATATCGCCTCCCGCCCCCCCCCCCCCGGACGAGTTAGTAACTTGTGAGCTCCCAACCCGCCGCGGCGAAATATTAATTCAACGCGGTGAGTTTGTTTAAATTATTGTTTGTAATCCTTCTACTTCCTAGCAACTTCCGTATTTATCTACTGTTGAGTTTTCTATGATGGTTTCGAAGGGACATCGCAACTGGCGAATATTGGTGTAAATAGTTACGTCAAAAATTCACGACGTGCCCCGAATCGCGAATATTAACTTAAATTGTCACGACAATTTCACTAATCGCTCTCTGGTCGCAAATATTGAAGGTGTGGCAGGTAATTCTGTCCCACGGTAAAAGTGTCCGGGGGGACAGAATTACCTAGGTAAAAGTGTCCTCCCTGGACCGTTAATTCTGTCCCCCTCCAGGTAATTCTGTCCCCCCCCCCCCCCAGGTGATTCTGTCCCCCTCTTTTAAAACCCGGAAAGTTATTGTTTGATGAATTCACTCTACAAGGTATACATTTTGGACTTTTAGTCTACCCTTCATGAATATAAAAATATTTAATTTAGTCTATTAGATGATACGTGAACACAATGTTCAGCGATTCGGAATACGGTGATTAAGAGTCTATCGCGATTCTACCGCGATAGTTCAACACAGCGGCGATGCATGGCGATGGCCCTTGATAGTGTGATACAACGTCTACTTGGATTGGTCTGTGTTCCCATCATAGCGCGTAACGAAATTTCCTATTGGACGAATTTCCATTGTAGAGGGATACGCATATGTACACATGTGATAATCACTGCCTCAAATCTTGCAGCATGTACTGGCGCGTGCGACACGCTGCTGCTGCTCTCAGTACATACTGTATGGGGACACATTTACCAGGGGGACACTTTCACCGTTGGGCAGGGGGACATTTTTACCTGGAGGGGGACAAATTTACCTAGGTAAAAGTGTCCCCCCGGACACATTTACCGGGCCGCGATCCGGTAAATGTGTCCGGGGGGACACATTTACCAGGGGGGACAGAATTTTCTGTCACAACGGCAACATTCGCGTCGAAAATTCCACGTCTCGCCCTCCGGTCGCATATACCGAGCTTGCTGGAAACAAAATGTCCTTAAAAATTTGCTACCCAGAGCAATTCGTGAACTTTTGACGCGAATATGTTGACGTCAATATTTGTGACCGGACAGCGAGACATGACATTTTTGGCGCGAATGTTGACGTCAATATTTGCGATTTGCGATGTCCATTCAAAGCCACCATAGTTTTACTGTAAAAAAAAAAACCCAGACGATATCATGCATGTCGCTCCTTGCACGGAACGCCATGCAGAATTGAAGCAAGCAAGGCCGCACTTGAAAATACATTTGACTCTTTTGCGTCATTATGTTGCCGAACTGTTTATTTGACTAAAGCTTACTAAAGTGCAGACTCGTGAAATAACCCACTCTCTTAATTTGTTTACTTTTGGCTTCAGCCGCGCGAGGAGAGTCCTACTTATAAAAATCACATTCAGTTCTCTGATTCAATTCGTGGTTTCATCTAGCCTTGGTCAATGCTCTCGTCGTTATTCGTCCCGTACGCGGTCAATCGTCGGCATAATCCTCACGCGCTATGCACATGTATGTAAAAATACAGCGCGAACAGCGACCTCATGCGGCCACTATTTTTTATGCAAATCAGTTGGGGACGATCGAGAGCCTTGGTTCAATCGTCCATGTGAGGTTTTGGGGTTGGTGCTTATTATGTTAATAGCCTTAGCTGACCTTAAATGTCGTTTTCTTATTGGTCGATCGTTGCGTGGAAACTTGCATAGTGAAACGTGGCACCGTACATAATCCATACACGTACACGTTGTGTGTCTCTGCACACGGCACCAATGCACAAAAACTTAGCCTTGACCAAGGCGTTGGGCTTATCGATTCGCCGATAAAAAAAATCGCCGATAAGAAAATCCCTAATCAACTTGGCAAGGCATAATTGCGTGCACATATCGATGCCCGTACGCTGCTAGTGATAAAGTAACTTGTACCATACAGCAAGGCTATGCTTGTACGTACAACAGCCATGCACACACAGTACATGCATGAGCTAGTCCGGGTAACCCAACGCCTTGATGGTTTTGAGTTGACCCAGCAAAACCTATTACGGTAATGAGGTACCACCCCCGCGTATACTGAATTCTCATTGGTCAGCCCGCGATAGGCTAACAAACACGTCGCGTCCGCGAAGAAACGCTGCAATGGCGGCCCGTTGCTGTGGGTGAAAGTCGTTCAGTCCCAGTCTGTCCGAAGCAGTGTTGAAGGCTCCAACGAATTCTGCAGGTAATGCTGTCATTAAACGATCGTTGCCCACACAAATGGATTCATTACACTAGCCGAAAAACTCGAATCAATGTCAAATTGTTGAAAAAGTGACGAACATTTCGCTCTCGCTAAAAAGACATGGAAGACGCCATGATGACCAATGCATTATGCATGCCGCGCGACGTCACATGATTCTTGTGAAGCTTACGATTGGTCAGCTTAAAAATGAATTAATCATACTATTGGGAAGGTTGTTTCATGTAATTGGTCCAAGACGAACCTACATAATCATCACGGCATACCCGTGATATCCTCAAATATCCTGAAGCCCGCCCATTTTCGTCCAAAACTGGACGAAAAAGTAAAGAAAGACATTAAACCCGGAAGTTGCAGACCCAACAAGGCGGTCGTTCGACAGGCCACGCGGCGCGTATATCCCCCACACGTACGTACGTACACCTACACGCAGAACATAGTAGGCCTACATTTACTGCCTTATTACACCATGCGTACAGTCCGTACTCACGTGTGTGTGCTTGCTGGTTGTGTTAGTACTGAACCGTTCGAACGGACAAGGGTCGGTGGTACATGCACGTAGCCGCGTTGATTGTGGGTGCGGGGCCCGATTATCTCCCTTCGACAAAAAGCCGAGAGACCGGCTTGAACAAGGCTATATTCGCATACGAGGTCGTGCGCTAGAACTCCAGCGCAAAATAAAGAAAAGCATAAGCTTTTGCCGACGATTGAACCAAGGCTCTCGATCGTCCCCAACTGATTTGCATAAAAAATAATGGCCGCATGAGGTCGCTGTTCGCGCTGCATTTTTACATGCATGTGTATAGCGTGTGAGGACATATGCCGACGATTGACCGCGTACGGGACGAATAACGACGAGAGCATTGACCAAGGCTAGGTTTCATCCAAAACCCATACAGAGGACCTTGTCCCTGGAGGTTACGGCAAATTCGGCTTCCGAGTCGCCAACGACGGTCCGGGGGACACGCTGACCATTTCCGTGTCGGTGCTGAACAGGACGTTGTCATCAGCCGTCACGGGCTCGTTGGTCACCGCCCAGGTGTCACCGACCAGTATGGTGCTTGCTACGGGGCAGACCAGGGAGGGACTGGTGACAGTCACCGCTACCCGGGACGTACCTGCTGGCACACCCGTGTAGGTGCTTGAAGGGGGGTCTCCAATACTCGGCGTTGTCTCTGCTTTCGACTGCAAGACATCCGGGACCCTTGATCATCAAAAATGACTTAATCATCGATTCCTTACAGCCGATTCGTATAGGTTTCACTTAGCGTTACCTTCACGCAGGGGTTATTCTACAAAGTCAATGAGATAGGGTTGGGGTCGTTGGGGAACAATTTCCCAAAAACCTCAAGCCTTTAGGCCCACCCCATTGCTTAAAGTGCCCTTCTTCAGTGAGTGTTTTCCCTGCAAATTTGAGCACAATTTAAAGCAAATCTTAAATGACTTTAAAATGGTCCTATGGATTTTGGTATAGATCCCCAGCTTAATTTGTACACAAACGTATTTATATGGTCCATATTTGTGTCAGAATAACATGTCTCTGCTATAAATTACCGACATCGAACGCTTGTCCATATTTAAAGGAATAGTTCGTGCTGAACTGATGGTCTTTTTGTTTTTGTCTTCCCAGCAAGGTGACACTTTTTGTCACGAGTTCGGTGTCTTCGTCCCGTAATTTCCTGTTCATTGAAGCCACGGTGTTTGCAGTACAGGATGAAGTAGATGTAAGTACATTCATCGGCTGTTAGGATAAGGGCATATCCAGCTGCTCATACACACCTGAACCCAATTCAATCGAGTTACTAGAGAAGTGCGCAATTGGTTTTTTTTGCAAAGCAAAATCAAGTTAAGGACCATTCTATAAGCAGAAAATTTGGTCTGGTACTTTCATAAAAATGCCCCCTAAAATATTGCCTATTTAGCGCAAAGATTATGAGATATTCAGTTATAAGTAAACAACATTAATCTTCTTTCCCTTAAATTCTATAGGAAAATCCAGACGAAAACGATCACATCGCGCCGACCTGCAGCATTCTAAGTTCTGGCGGTGGCTGCACGGCGGATCAGCAGATGGGACGTGACTGCCAACAGCACACATGGTGGGTGCGCGCCCGTGCCATGGACGACGCCATCGTGACTGAGGTAGCACTGGTCCCTGAGATCAAGAGCGGTGGTACAGGCAAACAGTCTCTCGTCTATGAGAACTTTACTGCTGACGATATGACCTTCCTGTACAGGTAGGTTTGACAGGTAATAACGAACCAACGTGTCTGTACGTGCGTGTGTTCAAGAGTTGTTAACGGTCAAGGTTGATCGCCCACAACGCTGCGATTCGCCCACCGAAGCCTCCTACCCCGGTTGACGCGAAGCCTCGTCACTCCACTGAGTCGTGTTTTACTCTACTCATTGAGGACCCTTCATTGTTCCCTTCTCATTGAGGACCCTCCATTGTTCCTTTCTCATCGAGGACCCTCCATTGTTCCCTTCTTTTGTTCCCTTTGTTTGTACTTGCAATTTTTTGTCGACAGCTCCCATAAGGTTTGTACACAAAAAACTTCCGAGGACTGGTCCAACGTCCTCGGGGTTATTGTTATCGCACACACCCCATTGTCTCAAGCCCTCAGTCGTATAGGATGACCTGTACACTCTGCGCTTTACACAGCATAGCGGTAATATTGCACAAGGAAATGACCGGAGCGGCACTCGAATCAGTGACCTCCGAAACACTGTTTCGGCGCTCTACCGAAAGTCGGAGGTTCGAGTGTCAGTACAGCTCAATTTAAATTTAAAGACAGAGCTATATCTCAAGAAATTCTATAAATGTTGATTCTTGATTGAAACATAATCATTTTGCGTAATTTCGTTCAAGTGCCAGCTGTTGTTGTCCTATGGTCCAATTCACCGTTCGTGATGGGGCCAACAACAATGTATCGTGTGGGATGGGTCACTACACCGTTCGTGATGGGGCCAACAACAATGTATCGTGTGGGATGGGTCACTACACCAAGCCGTCTGGACAAATAGATGAACCTGTCAGCAACGGACTGGTAAGTCTAACAAATTATTCAAAAGCGGGGGGGGGGGGGGGGGGGGGGGGGGGGGGGGGGGGGGGGGGTGGAGTGGCGGGAATAAGTGATCCAACCCAACAACATTTCTTTAAAGTTGACAGAGCTACTTCACATTCACAAGCTTGTCAACAGAAACAGAACAAATTTTCACCCGAAATAATGTCCATATTAATCACGATGTCAAATGCTCTATATATAGCACAATAGTTTTTGTATTCCCCGTAGATGCCCATCCCTCTTGGTCTGAGTACCGGCATGATCGGCGCTACGGCTGCGGTCATCGTTGCGATGTTGATCATAGCGGGCGCCCTCAGGTCTAGAGCCTAGAGGCACTCTCCTACAAGAACCTGCAGCACAAAGTCGTCGAGACGGAAAACGATTACAGAATAAAGTTTAATTTAACCGAATGCGTAAACAGGATTCCTACAGAATTCAGTGTAGTCGGCCTGATTTGGGATTGTAATCGAGTCGATTACAACTCAGTCACAATTTGTGTCGTAAGTAACTGGGAAAGCTTAATTGTCCCTAGCCTTGAATGACTTGTGATTGAATTGAACCGGTTGACATTTTGAGTTGATTCGTATTACACTTTGCAAACTCACCCAAAAACAAACTTCTTCATATTGTGAGTATAAATTAACAGCTGGTCAATCAGCAAAAAATCATATGGCAAACTTAGTCGTTCTTAGAATTTTGAAAGTCTTACGGAAGGCAACTTTGATGAATCATATCTTTAAACTAGATTCTAAAGATACATGTAGCTCCACAGAGAATGATTAGAAATTTGCCAAATTGACCACTACGTATACCGCCTACTATATACTGATCAAATCACTAGACATAATTTTTGTCGTACGGCTAGACTCATTCGACTCGTTTTAACAGGTATGATAAACGATTGAAGTATGTTTTTTGCTTGCAAAAAAAGAAGAACTGATTACCGAGCTGTTCTCTAAATTATTGAAAACTGTTTTCGACATGTTTCTGTAGTTTTCTCCAAAAGGTTTTGCACGTAAACAAACTTCTATGTTTAAGCTTAGATTTTGAAACAGGATTAGACAATTTTTCTGTGAACTAGATTAAAGCTAGAGTGCCCAAATAACTCACACGCATATTCGCCAAAGATGTCTATTTGAAGGTAAAGGAGTGGAAAAAGTTACAGATTGTTAAAGGCCCTTTAATGCAATAATTGAAAATGTACCTTTGAGTCCCATCTAACCGTATTTTCACATTTCATTTTGCCATTTTCAAAGGTATTTTAGTGCCTTTTCGGTTTTTATGCAAATGAAGCTTTCCATCAATTCATGAGCAAATGTATGATGTCATTTTGAAACCTCAATGTAACAACTCAAAAAAAATCAGCACACAAAGTTGCCGGAATTTTGGATATTTCGCAGCTGTCTTTATTTCGCTGTTTTTTTTAGTGATTCGTTGTGGTGTCGGTACATGACAGTATAGCCAATGAACAAACTTTTCTCACAAATGTTTTAAATGAGCAAATTTGTGGGTTCACAATTTGAACAGAAAACACCTAGAATGAACAGTGTCTTCCTGAAATGACATCACAGCAACAGCTCCCTCATTTGTCTGGAAAAGCATGGATGTTGTTTAAAATGTTTAAAGAAGTGCTCTTTTTAATTAGAGATCAACCAAAAAGGGATGTCAAGTTGTTTTCATATACATTTAAGAGGAGAAGGAAGCTGCACAAAATATGTTCCCAAATAAAATTCATGTCATGAGCCCTTTAAGCTTGGATTTTGAAACAGGATAGTCAACTTTTTCGTGAACTAGATTAAAAGCAGTTTGCCCAAATAACCCATGAACACTCATACTCACTCAAACAGAGTGTCTTGAACTTATTTAATGAAAGCCTCCTCAACAACGAACCCAGGAAAGGAAGTGAAACAAAGTTACAGATTTTTTTAAATTACGCCGCCCTAAAAACCAGCTGCAACCCAACATGAGTGGCACTCTAGGCTTCTTTATCGCTATTGACAAGTACGTTTCATTACTTTGGCTTGTATTATGCATGGCAATTGTAAGGACGAAAAATGTTTACACAGATTTATACCTTTTTGCAAATATTAGTAGTATTTTATTCTTTTTTGTGTGTGTATTTGTTTTGTGCAAGCCTATAATATTTGACAAGGTAGATTGGGAATTGTCGGGTAAATTCAGAATTGAACACTTCATGAGTGTGTATCAAGTGGAAAAAAGCAGATTGCATAATCCAAAGCTGTTTTTTATTTCGTCTTATTTTGGAGTCACTATTATAGCAAAATATGCAATGACTACAAACACCCAATTTTTTTCAATAATAATGTTAAAGTTAACATTAATAATTAATGTTAAGTGTTTTCCTGCATTTACCCAGATGAAATCTATTCAATGGAGTGACATTCTGATAATTACATTCAGATGCTTTGCTTCTCAATATCGAATAAATATTAAAAAGATGAAATGAATTGTAACTTGCCTATATATATTTTATGCTTTATAACTGATGGAACGCCTCGGATTTCCTAGAAGCATACTCTCTCACTGCTAATAGTGAGATTGAATTCCAGAATCGGTATTTTCATAGCAGTTCATTCTTCGCTATTTTCCAGGGCTGCAAACCTCACTAGTTTTTACGAGTGAAGAATTTTTTTTATAAACAAACTTTTTCTCTCTTATTCTATGATAAGAAACGGTTTGCCGCAACTATCATTCGATATTTTTTTAGCTTGATGCTCATTCCTTATTAAAAAAAGAAGAAGAAAGAATAAGAAACATACAGCAGCGATCAAAAGAAACAAATTGTGTGAGAGAGATACTTGATTGAAGAAAGTCTTCCTACCTAGGTACATCACACGGCTAGATTTTCTTCTTTCTGGTAATTTCCAATGAAAACATGGCGTACGAAAGGTAGTTTAAACGATTGAATATGTACTCAATTTAACTAGGTGTGCATCGGAAAGGTTTCTTATTTCAAACAACATTTGATCAGAGTACAGCTGCTAAATTAGCGTTCCCAGGTCGAAATAAAATAGAGAAAAAATATATTTATTTCCTATTGAAAATACATTTTTTTTAAATCTATTTTTTTCCATTGTATTTCGACACCCCCCAAAATAGCGAGAAAATAGAATAGTGAAAAAATATCTTTTTAAAAAATAGAGGTAAAATAGAGGTAAAATAGGTTGCTATTTTTTAAAAATAGCATGCTATTTAAAAAAATGCTATTTTTTAAAAAATACAATATGGCGTCTGTCCAAACAACTGTTTTATAATACGTGGACATACATGTTAATAGTACACATGTCCTTGTGGACAATAAGCATCTTTAGCAGTCCTCAAACATACAGTACATGAAGTGAGCAAGCAATATGACTGCATGCAAGAATGGAATAATTGAGGAAATACATGTATGTCTATTACCATGAACAGTAATAATGCTGTGACAACACAGTGTCCAAACAATTAACATACACATACATCATGCACCATCAAGTTATTAAAACAGTTTGGTTCAACATGCTACGGGTGTGCGTGCTTTTTCAGCAAATACAGCTTGAAAAGGTACAAGAATGTTACTCATAATTGTCCTGGAAAATCTACTAACCATGTGGTGCACTTGTCACTCCATTACAGTGATTTGGATGCATTTTAACCCCAGATATACTTGCCCCCATTGCACACATCTCTACTGCAGCTGTGCTTCACAGACGGCTCTCAGAATGCAACTGACAAAATTCAAACTTGCCACACACACATAGGATGTTTATCTGGTATGCAAATTAAGTGCTTGGCCTTCAGATTGTGTTGTACGTACTGAGCATATGTCTACAAAATAGCAAAAAAATAGTCCATGGTTCTCATAAACATGTGTAAGTGTCCAGAAAATAGACGAAAAATAGACTGTGGACCACACAAAAATGTCTAAGTCTCCAAAAATAGTCATAAAATAGCGTGCAGTTTTAAAAATAGAAATAAAATAGAGTGGCAATATGTACTCATTTTGATGTAATAGAAATAAAATATATTTTGTTCCTATTTTCTAGGAGAAAATAGCTTTAAAATGTATTTTCAATAGGAAAAACATAGGATTTTGCCAGAGATTTTCTATGAGGGTTGTAGCCTTTTACCTCACGAATGACAACGAACAATTTTGACGACCTTTCGGAGTAAAATCTTTTGCAATATTGGGTATTTTCGTTTCTCAGTGTGTATATATGTGTAGGCATTTTAACAATTCAGGAAGAAACAGTCCGAGAATCTCCCCAAATTTAACAACTAGATTTTTGTTTCTTTCTTTTTACACAGTGCTTTGATTTGTCAGATTCCTTCAAAGTTACATACATGTTACTCATGGATTCTCATTTATTAAAGGAACGCGAAAAAAAAATAATGAGCTATACATGTAGAGAAGCGGCTTGGGCGAGTCTAATCTACAACAATGAACCAAATACACACAGTCTAGTGGGTCGGCAGAAATCATCGTTGAAATTTTCCATGGAGATGGTTCAAGTGTAACACTAGCGTTTGCAACAACAGATTAAGCTGAAATTCGGCTTATATTTAGTTGATATAAGTGTCCAACTACTCGTTTAATAACAATTTTGAGAAATTCCTAGAAAGTGATATAAATACAGAGATTTGGGACAGTTTTCGAACGATTTCGTCCAGACTTAAAGGTCAGATATACCAGTAACCAGTATTGTCTTTTCGGCGTCGATGACGGCGATTTTTTTTTCACTGACATGAAGTTTAGAATTATTTCTTCCGTTATAATTTAGCATTTCAATCATACTGTGCATATTTTCTGAGTAACACAGCGTTCAAAAGGCCATGTTTGTGGTGCTTGAATTTCACTGTTCTGCTATAGCGTCTAAGTACGTAATCGGATAAGCTTTGCTAAACAACGGCAGACGCTTTGCCTTAGCAACCACACGACTGCACATGGGTATTAAAAGTAGTCTGCGCCATCGACAGAGGATGCCAACAATAACGTCTCGTCGCCAATTGAATGCTCTCTTTAAAGCTAAAGTCCATCATTTGCAGCCATTCGAAAAGTAACTGGCGTAATTATTGTTGAAAAACAAACTTGGTTGAAAGACAGTAAGGGAACTAAACTCCCTGTGAAATTATTCTTTCTGGGAAGCTGTCATTTTGAAGTAACCAACGAAAGAATGCATTTCCAACGGTGATTCTTAAGAAGCACCGTAGGAAAATTTAAAATTAGTAGTTCGTTTTGTTATTCAGCGCAGCGCGCACAAGCATTGGAACGACGCACACACGCGCGCGGTTGCTATAATTCGTCGGATCAGTGCGCGACGTCGCGTATAGCTGCAATTCAAAACAATTCAAAACATGATTCAGTAACTTTTGATTTGAAATTGAGATCTTAGAATGCTGTTTTCACGGAATATACGGCTGAAGCTTAGCTGAAACTTCATCAGGTTAGTTGCTCAGTATCCTTCATTAGATTTTGAACTCTTTTGTTGCTTCAAACGAACAAAATGCACAAATTACAAATGATGGACTGTAGCTTTAAGGCGTCGGTTATATAATGATTTTGTATGGATAAACTGCATTTTCAAATTGTGTGAACTTTCACACATGCATCTACAATTAAAAAGTCACGCCAACAATGGATTGTAAGATTTTGGTGAAATCTGTCAGTTTAACGGGTTGCTGAATTTGGCAGCCCTCGAGCAGAGCTAAAAAGTTTTATATCTATACAGGTGGCCCCTTTCGCTGGGTATATCAACCCGAATGTTAGGGGAACAGTGTACCGTGAGAACCTCTTCCGCTTTTCAGTAACATAATTGCAGATGGCATCATCATGCAATTTTATTCATCACTTCCGAACCGTCCCGTGTCCAGAATTTCATACATGCGAATAAAGTTAACACTGCTGAGGCCTTTACCAAGCCGGCATCTTGCAGACCAGCTCGTGTCGTTTGAAATCACACGGAGTGTCGTTCCACTGCCAGTTTCCCCGGACTACACGCAATCTTCTTCCCTAGCTGTTTCGTGAGTTAATTCGGTTCTCCCGGATAACAGTTTTCGAATCCTCTCTGACTCCCATCTGCCCAGACGAACTGACCCTCCTTCTCTCGGTCATGGTACCCAATCCAGTATTCTCTCACATCGCGTACTACTGCTAACTAATACGTTTTGTACCTTCAACGAACGTTTATATGGCACGTCAGTTGGTTGCTTGAGCGTCCAAAACGTTTTATGTAGGTCCTTGTTACGTCTTTAGTCACTGGTAGTACGTTTTTAATACGTTTTGTACGTTCAACGAATGTTCTTAGAACGTTTATGGCACGTCAGTTGGTTGTCTGAACGTCCAAAACGTTTTATGTAGGTCATTGTTAGGTCCTAGATAACTACTCGAAAGTTGTTATTACGTTTTGTTCGTTCAAAAAACGTTCTTAGAACGTCTCAAAAAAGGTTTTAAAACGTCCAAAAGTGTCCACAAATGGCCGTTTTTAAAACGTTTATTCAAAATGTTCTAGACCCTCTCCTAAGAACAGCTCAAAATGGTTTCGCCAAAAAGGGACAACTGTGGGTAAAATCATTGCATTTCGGAGGATCATCAAGGGCGTCAAGAGCAAGAATCGTCCTGCTAGCTGTGATGACGTTCATAGACTTCAAAAAGGCTTTTGACTCAATCCACAGGGGGAAGATGCTCGATATCCTTAGTGCATATGGGATACCAAAGAAGCTTGTGGAAACTGTGGCAGCATCCTACTCTCGCAGGCCAGGGTCACCACACCTGATGGAACTACCGAACCGTTTAACATCTCTGCAGGAGTGCTTCAGGGCGATACCCTCGCTCCTTATCTCTTCATCATTGTGCTGGATTATGCTTAGAGGAGGGCCATTGACGGGAGAGAGGTGGAGTTAGGTTTCACCTTGACACAGCGCAAGAGCCGGCGAGTGCCTCCAGTAACAGTCACCGATCTGGACTTCGCCGTTGACATACTGATCTCAAACACTGTGGAACAGGCTCGTACCCTTTTCGTCTCGGTGGTGGAAGAATGTTTGAAGATGGGATTACATCTCAACGCTGGGAAGACCAAAGTGCTGGCATACAACACGACTGACGCTACTGTCCACACCAGAGACGGCACGCTGCTGAAGATCGTGTCCGATTTCAAATATCTTGTAGCGTATGTCGACTCAAGCGGAAAAGACATCAAGACCAGACGAGGATTGGCGTGGTCAGCACTTCACAGCATGAAAAAGGTACGGACGTCAGCCATCAGTACAAAGCTCAAAAGGTCGCTCTTCATCTCCACGATTGAGTCCATCCTACTCTATGGTGCAGAGACCAGGACCCTCACAACCAAGGAGGAGACGCCACTGGATGGACGATGAATGATGACCTCTACAACGGCATGCAGAGAGTGACTCACAATATCAGACAGCGTCGTCTTAATCTCGCTGGCCACTGCGTCCGCCACCCTGAGCTTGCTGCCCGCCCAACCATACTGTGGGAGCCCACCCAGTGCACTGCCTTAAGAGGGAGAAGAAGTCTGACCTTTGTGGACCAGCTCAAGAGGGACACTGATCTCACATCTGCAGAGGAGCTGCGCACCTGCATGGTAGATCGAGACAGCTGGAGGAAGAGGACTCAAGGACTGGCTCGTGATGTCGTCACAACCAATTGCAAGGCGACCCCGACCGATTTGACCGATTGATCTCAAACCTGGCAGGTAAATAGACAAAAAAGTGTTATATATGAAAATTGGGATGTAAAGGTCATGTGACCTCTACTTCCGGTGTTACCGGAAGTGTTAATTTTAGACCCTAATTAGCATATATCTAATGAATTATAAGTTTGATGGGGTTGACACCTTATATTAGCATTAACCAACATTATAGGTTCAATACGTTGCATTAATTTTAATGGGCACGTATTTTTTTTTCATGTTATGACGTCATGAATATTCAATGAGGCAATCTTTACAGTTTTATAACCATAGAATAACCGATTGATCTAAAATGTGGTAGATATATTGACAGTTATAAATGAAAATGTGTATGTCAAGGTCACGTGACCCTTACTTCCGGTTGTACCGGAAGTGCAATAATTTAAGGTAATATGATCATTTGTTTTAGTTTCTTTCTTTTTTTATTCAGTAAATCATTATGATTATACAGTCCCATAGACAATCAAAATGGGAACAGCTCTGTGGTAATCCACAATCACAACCTCGATCTACAGTTTTCCAATTTGTTTTCTCAGTTCTTAAAATATATTTATAGCAATTAGCCAGTTGATGTCGTCAAGAGTCGCAGAAAGGAGGAATTGTAGTTGGTTCTTATCATACTTGGCTTTTCTGTAGGCCAACCAAATTATTTCTTCCATTTTCTCCCAGAAAACCAAAGCTACGGCTAAGCTGCTTGCTAAGCACATCTAGTCAGCACTGAGCCCTCCGTCCGCCGAACTCATGGATAAAAGTTATACCCTCAAAATATTATATTTTGGTGTTCTGAGAGCCATAAAATGATGAATTGAAGAGATATGGTAATGAACCTGTTCGGCCCGGACTTGTGGCTTCAAATTCTGAACATTTTGGATGTTATTGGCATGATGGGCGTCGCGACTGGGGGGGGGGGAGGCGCTTTTCAGCTTAGGGTTCGTCTTCTCTCGAAAAGTCAATTGTCAACCCACCAACAAATGAAAAGAAATGAAAGGTGACATGATGATCATCATTTTTCTGTGCAGCTTGAATACCTGTGAGAGTTCTGAGTATTTTACAAAGAATTTTGAAGTATGGGCATTTAGCACTTTTGCACGGTCCGGTTGCACCCCTGTGACCGTACGTGGTACGCAGGGCGCCCTCAAGAGAATTCCCATTTCCCAATATGCCGTAAAAGTTTTGGCTGAACTTGGTTTCTGCTCGGCCGTGTTGCTTGTCTGGTCAAAAAGTAATCAGTTAGCGCCGGTTCTCACACTCACAGAAAGTTGCACAGTAAGAAAGATTTACGCATCAATATCAGGGTAACTTTGGGACCCCTCTCTATCTCTTGAGTGAGTATGAACTATGATACCGTACGCCAGTGGCGTACGTAGCCTCGGGGGGGGGGGGGGGGGGGGGGGGGGGGGGGGGGGGGGGGGGGGGGGGGGGGGGGGGGGGGGTGGGGGGGGGGGCGTGGGGGCGACCGCCCCCATGAACCTTGTCGCCCCCCAGTGCCCCCCCCCCCCCCCCCCCCCCCCCCCCACTGAGATTTTGAGTTTCTATAAAAATTATCATTGATCTACATGACTCCATGGGCCCTATTATGTACTACAATGTATCTTTTGCTTAGAAAATATTGGTTAAAGTGGTCAGAAATTGCCTCAGATAGCACCACCCTGACCACAGAGCATTTAGAATCCAAAATTTTTCGGGGCCCTTAAGCGGGCCCTGAACCCCACGCCTATAGCTCAGAATTCTGGTAGCTGATTCAATGACTCCAACCTCGAAAACAATGTTCACAAAACTTTCTTATGCCTTTAGCTGAGAAAACCTCGAAAATTATGTTTAAATTATTATCTTTTGTGAGAGATTCATAAATCTCTTTTGTGAGAGATTGGTTAAAGTGTTAAGAAATTGCCTCAGATCACACCACAGAGCATCAAAAAACCCACGCCAGTAGCTTAGAATACCTATAGCTGATTCAATGTCTCCAACCTCGAAAACGATGTTCAAATAATTATCTATTGCCAAGAAAATATTAGTTAAAGCATGGAGGAAAGTCGTAAGAAATTGCTTCAAATCACACCACAGGACATCTAGAATCCAATTTTTTTTCGGGGCCCTTAAGCGGGCCCCGAACCCCACGCCGCAAGGGCTTCGCGCTTGCATCAGTTATTATCAAGGTATGGCCCCCCCCCCACTTTTGAGAAGCGATTGACGCCCCTGCTTGACGCCCCCCCCAAAGAAATGTTCCAGCCCCCCCAGCGCCCCCCCCCCCCCACTGAAAAATTCCTTGCTACGCCACTGGATCAAGGTATGTCCCCCCCCTACTTTTGAGAAGCGATTGACGCCCCTGCTTGATGCCCCCCCCCCCCCCAATGAAATGTTCCAGCGCCCCCCCACTGAAAAATTCTTGGCTACGCCACTGGATCAAGGTATGTCCCCCCCCCCCCACTTTTGAGAAGAGATTGACGCCCCTGCTTGATGCCCCCCCCCATGAAATGTTCCAGCCCCCCCAGCGCCCCCCCTCCCCCCCCCCCCCCCCCCCCCCCCCCCCACTGAAAAATTCCCGGCTACGCCACTGCCGTACGCGGGGGTGTGACACAACTCGACTTTGTGGAACTGGAAAAGCAACACGCGTATGCTGAGTAGGCAAGCTACCCCGATATCTGTAGGGGTTACAGTGGGTAAATGTATTCAGTGACCAAGTGACCGTTCTATCCAAATTTCGGCTAAATAATTTGACGGATTATTTGTATACAAAAATTTGTTGTGCGGAAAGTTCAGCAGAATTTTTTGGGAAAGAGTTCCATATTCCTTAATAATAATTATAACCAAATCTAGTTTTGCTGAAAGCCCCCCCCCCCCCCTGCTGAAATCTCCGCTCCTTAACCCGGTTCGGTCCAAAACGTGTAAAACTGTACTGTCACTGACTGTAGGCTACGTACATTGTACATCAGTCATGAAGATGGTATCACTATCAGCATGCGGTTTTCACAGCAGAATGCTGAGATTGTGCTCTTTTCAAATCCGTAATAAAAAAAAATTGACCTCGGTCGACAAGCGACTCATCAGCTCATGTAGCTTGATTGCATCACATATTTGAATATATATGAACCATTGAATAACCACTGAAATCTCTTTTCCCTTCACTTTAGATGTCTACCTCCCAATTTGAGTCCACTATGCGCCAGCCTAGACTCCTTACAGTTGCTCCTTTTTCATCCTTGGTAGACAGTAAAGTGACTATAAGAGCAACTGGTATGAAGGCTAATAGCCCTGTAACCATCAGGTAAATGATGAAGACTATAAAAAAAAAAATACTTACAGGGCCCATGTAATGTAATTTTTTCAGTGCAATCTTTGAAAATGCACCTTTTTGTCCCATTTAACCTTATTTTCAAATTTCATTTCGCCACTTTTAAGGGCATTTTGGTGCCTCTTTGGTTTTTATGCTACTGCAAATGTCCATATTCATGAGTAAAACTGCGATGTCATATCAGGCAGAAGCCCCAATGTTACAGCTATTCCAGCACCAAAATTTGGCCGAATTTTTGATATTTTGCTGTCATGAATTTAGTCTTCAGTTCTTTTGGTGATTCGTTATTATTGCAGTACATGACAGTAAGACAGTGAGCAAAGTTGTCTCACAAATGTTTTCAATGAGCAAATTTTGGGGTCACAGTTGGAACAGAAAACCCCTGGAGTGAGCAGTGTCTTCCTGAAATGACATCACAGCGACAGCGACAGCGCCCTCATTTGTCAGGAAGTTTGAAATGTTTGTAAAAGTGCTGTTGTCAAATGGTTTTCATACATTTTAGAGGAGTAGAAAGTTGCACAAACTAAATATGTTCCCCAGTAAAATTCATGTCATAAGCCATGGGCCCTTTAAGCGTTCTGTATTTGAGTTCACAAGTTTTCAAGCTCAACTTGTGATTTTAATAGTAAAATATGTCAAGTTGTCTTGTCATTGAAACAAAATGACAATTAAAAGTGAGATAAAACTGCCCATGTGCATGTCCTCCAAAATTATCTGAATAACTCGACATAAACTCAGGCTCACCTTGGAGAAAATAACTTCATCCTTCAAATCATTGTGAAGAAATGAAAATTGTTTAACCAGTTCGCACCGGAGGACGTGTATACACGCAAAAGTTTTTTCGAAATTCAGATCGGAAGACTGATAAACCTGCAACCCGCAATGTGTCGGTGACCCACTCGCAGCAAGCGAGGCCGGAAAAATCAGGTTGTGCTACCCGCAGATCATTGCCTGAGCCCATCTGGCAGAGAGGTTCGTGAAAAATAATCCTTCACCTGGGTCTTGTCACTGTCAAAATAACCCCGGTGCAAACTCGTTCAACGTGCCATTACTGAAACTCAAAGTTTTGAATCATCAGATAAATACCAAAACAAAATGTAAAAATAAATTGGTCTATTTGTTTTGTTTTTTTTGGCTTAAAATTGTTGATTACCAATTTATATTTTAAAATAAGGTTTTTTTTATAAGATATCATCTGACAAGGAAGGATTATTGTTAAATACCAGTATATTGATTGTTTTTTATGCTTTTTCACAGATCTTTCGTTCAGCAGGAAACCCGTAGGAGTGGTTTCGTGAAGTTTGAGGCCCATGCTCATTACATCGCGGATGATAGGGGAGTCGTATCAGTCCCTGATCAGATGTCACTAGGAGGGACGTACACCGGTAATTGTAATTGCCATTTTTCCAGTTTTGATGAAGTTTTTGGAGAATTAAAGAGGTTGTGGAATGCTCGAAGACATTTCCGTCATTTTTCGGGTATATGTAGCCTAAGATGTGATGAAATAAAAACGACTTCTGTTTGTGTCATAAAATGAGTACAAAAGGTACTTTTGAGAGCTGTTTTTCAAGTCCTGTCATGCCTTTTTCGACCTGAACGTGCAATTTGTGTAAAAGTCGTCGTTGCGGGCAGCAAACAAAACACAGTAAATCGTGACGTAATAAACAGGACTCCTGATGCAGAGTAGCATATACGAGTCCTGTTTATTACATCACGACTTACTGTGTTTTGTTTGCTGCCTGCAACGACGACTTTTACACAAATTGCACGTTCGGGTCAAAACAGGACCTGAAAAATAGCTCTCAAAAGTAACCTTTGTACTCATTTCATGACAGAAACAATAGTCGTTTTTATTTCATCACACCTTAGGCTACATATACCAAAAAAAATAACGGAAATGTCTTCGAGCATTCCACAACCTCTTTAAGTGGAAAAAACAAAATGGTTGCTGTTTTAACCAACTTGAAAAAGAAAAAAATGAGAAAAAGAAGGCCGTAAAAGGGCAGATAATGGCTGCCAAATAAAAAAAATTAAAGATGTTTAGTGTGCTGCCATTTTGAAAAAAAAACAACGGGAGGTCCCTTTTTTTTCCCCTCCAAAATGGGCGCCCATGCATCTAGGCTATTTTTCAACATGGCTGCCATTTTTTTAAATGGCCGCCATTCATGGACTTGGTGAAATGACATACCAGCTTATATGGGCTATCGATGCAACAGACAAAGAGGGCAAAATTTTGTGGGACGCTAAACTTTTTTTTTTTATTTGGCCAGATAATGGCAGCAATGCATGGTTTGGTGCTAGTACAATAACGATACAACCCCTTGCAGTATTTTGTAGTTGAGATTTTGAGTAGGCCTACTTGTCGTTGTTTGCCAATGCTACCACATACAGTCATCCAATTTCCTTCTACATTGTAAATAACGAAAGGTTTGCAGAAACACCATGTGCGAATAATTTTCAAACCTTTCATTATTCAGTATCTCCACCATGCAAAGCCTCAAATCTTACTCTATTGCCTTCTTTTCATTCCAAGGAGCTGAACCAATGGGCCTGTTCTGGAGCATGGTCCCCTCACCAGGCCAGCGCTTTGGCATCCGCTTCATTGTCAAAGATGTCACAGAGCCCATGGTGGTACACCTCTCCCTACACCGTGGTCATCTGGATACGAAGAAACTACAGACGGCTGAACCAGAGGCTACCACGACAGCTGAGAGGCGGTACATGGGCCAAAACGTAGAGAGGATCACGGTCCACAGCGGACGCTTGAGGGGGACTTTGTTTAAACCGAAAGGTACAAGTACCTTAAAAATCTTGTCAGGAGTGTCATTTTGGCATTGCTAGTGAAGCGTTGCTTCCATGTGATTAGGTTGAAGGAGCATGCATTCCATTGCGAATAATCAATGGGAATGCAGGCTTTTGGCGATTTGTCGTCCCTTGAATATCATGAGTGCACCACACAGGGTCATCTGCAGATAATGTATGGGAATAGATACTATGTAAAATCATCATCATTTTCTGTCAAAGTGGTAAACTTCAGAAAAATAACTTTCGCCCGTGCCTACTTCTTGCCCCTCCTCCAAGAACCAAATCCTGTTATGCTGAAACAACACAGTATAAAAAAACATCTGACACTTAAATCAAGCTGGTTATACACAAACAATAAAGATAAAGGGCAGGGTTGTAACGAGTCACTGATTTTTGTGACTCGAGTCGTAAGTGACTCAATTCGAGTCGAGTCATTAGTTTAAGAAGGTCGAGTCGAGCCAAGTCGAGTCACAGTGTGTAGTCGAGTCGAGTAGAGTCAAGTATTTAAGTCGAGTCAATTTGAGTCGCAAATATTTGAACACTATACAATAAATAAACACAAGAGAGAAAGTCATTTTTTTGGCTTTTTTAATTTTACATTTGGGCTACTACACATGTGGCGACACCACCTTTGACTCTTAATGACAATAAAAAAGGGGGTGTGAGCTGATCACCATTCAATTAATGGGGACACAGATCAAACCACGTATGTACATGTATGTAACATTATTCGCGAAGATTCTAACGTGACGTGAACAAAAACCGGCACCGGCGTACGTCATTGCAAATGTTTTTCGCAAAGTTTTGCTTTTAATTGGGGACTCGAGTCTTATTGGCCTTCCTCGAGTCGAGTCGAGTCGAGTCATTCTGATGAGGTACTCGAGTCGAGTCATTTGCTCACAGTGACTTGAGTCGAGTCGAGTCATTTGCCTTTAGGAACTGGAGTTGAGTCAAGTCGAGTCGTAAACAATTGTGACTCGGGTCGGACTTGAATCGAGTCATTGACTCCAGTCATTTCAACTCTGATAAAGGGCAGATGCCGATTGTGACCAATTGTATTTGTTTCTGTGGTACCAGGTTCAGGTCCGTTCCCTGGTGTGATCGACATGTTTGGCTCCACTGGCGGACTGATAGAGATTAGAGCAGCTATGCTGGCATCTCGTGGCCTGGCCTGTTACGCTCTGCCGTACTTCAGCTATGATGACCTACCTGCTAGCATGTGGAACCTGGAGCTGGAATATTTCAAGGTTTGATGAAAATCTGCCTTGAGTGCAGAAAAACATGCAAAACGAATTCAGGCCAACTTATACTCACTCTTAATTAGCCGACACAATTCTCCAGAATTTTCATCGGGCAAAGACAAGGTCCTCAGTATTTCACCAGCCAAATTTGAAGTCTCAATTTAATTTGTAAAGGAAAGTTTTCTTCGATATTTTGCACCTGAGAGTGAAGCCAAGCGATTTCAATTTGAAGCCTAAGACGTGACTTGTACATGTCCAGCTGTTTGAAAAGATTGACCCTTCAGTGGTCTGGCGGCAGACTATGGAGTGATGTGTAGTAATAGACCAGTGCACATTTTTTGGAGTGGTTGTTTGATGTGCGAGTCTATTTTCTTGACTTGCATGTTTTGAAAACCTTAAGTTTGGGGACTCTCAAACACAGTATTGATGACGCGTCCCAAATTTTCGGACTAGGAGCAGAACTAGATTAACTCAATTTTTGTTTGATCAGTCACAGACAGTCAAAAATTCAATACCGTTCCCCTGCTATGCCTTTTAGCGCAGGCTATAGTCACCAACAGTCAGATCATGCTTCAATAGGCACAGTAACAAGTCAAATTCCATCTTCCGACAAAAGCCGGTGACTGGTAGTCACAGTTGGCTCATCAATCTCCTACAGTCAAAGCACGGCTATATCAAGTTTTATAAGGCTGTGTCCGAAACGGGCTTCCAGAGCTACGGCTACGTCTATTGTCAGCGCGTCCCCGCGCATTTTCAATGGCCGCAGACCTGGACTTAGCTCTAGACAGTTGATTCGGATGCAGCCTAACAATCAGCCAGTAAATCCTGTCTTTAACCCTGCTGTTATTTAAGCTGTCACAGACAGTCTAAATTTACTTCCACTTTGGTGCATACCTGTGTCCCCCAAACCTATGTTCCCCAATACCAATGTTCCCTGTTATCCTTACCCTATAACCCTAGCCCTAACCCTAACCCTAATCCTAAGGATTTCGGAGAACATCAGTATTGGGGAACATAGGTATTGGGGAACATCGGGTAGACCCCCGTCCACTTCCCCTGCTATACGTTTACAAAGGCTGGTCACCAGCAGTCAGATCATATGTCTGGCCAGCACTGTGACCAGTCAAACTGGGTCAACAGACAAAGCAGGCAAGTTGTGGTCACAGCTGTTTTATCACTCACTTGGAGTCAAAGCATAGCTGTATCAAGTTACTTAAACAGTCCAACGCAGTCAATCCTGCTTTATATAGGCTGGGAATTCTTAAGGGTTGAAAACAGTCACTTGATTGATTTTGACTGCAAGAACAACTTGGCACAGATTGTATGTTTGCGTAGGCAGGAAGCACTCACCTGTTGTTAAAAACAGCCGTTTGATATATTTTGACTGCTCTGGTCCGGGGATGGCATTGATGAAATTGCCAGGCAGAGGGGGAAGGTTTTAAAAATTATTTACTGAATTTGATTTGATTTTTGTTTATGTTTATGAAGGAAGCTGTTGACTGGTTATGTGGTCAGCCCTTTGTGAGGCCGGGTGGCATTGGAATGGTAGGGGTGTCTTCTGGCGCACAGATAGTCTTTGCCATGGCAGCTCATTTTCCAGAAAAGGTAAAAAAAAAACGCTTCATATCTCCCAAAAATACGTACTTTTGCTGTGCCACCCACAAGATACTTGTGATACGGATTCTTTAAAAGAGCATTCTTGACTCGAATGCGCTATTTTTGGCTTTAAAACCCATTTCCCAATAGTGATTATCACTGCAAAGATCATTAAAATGTAGAATATAAACAAGTCCACAACTATACAAGATTTGCACATTTCATGTAATCTTAACATTTGCATTGTGGGATATAATCAAATCTGAGATCAAATCATTATGGAATCTCTGCATTTCTGACTTTGGGGACTACATGCATGGACAAGTTGGTTTATGACACAAAACATGGTAATAAAAGCTAAGAAGGAAGCCAATCATTTGCTTTGATAACTTTCTTAAAGTTTTTTTTTTCGTTGGCCATTTTTGAACTCTAAAACCCACACATGAAGAAAGCATCAAAACTGCAGCTTGAGTAAACTAAAAGGTGGTCATATTGTTTTGAATATAATTGTTTTTTCCTTTTGTTTCAGTCAAAAATTGTAAGTTTACCTCATTTCAGTTTTGATTACTAACGAGAGCCATAACAATTGATTTAGCCAAAAAAAAATCAATGTTTTGATGTTGATTTTGAGACATCCGGGAATCCTTTATTAAAAGATCCTGCTGTCTGATGTCTGTCTTGTCTGTCGTGCTGTCTGTCTGTCTGTTTGATGTCTGGGTGTCACATTCTTTGTATAAGGCCAAAAAAAAGAATAGTTCTGCTTCCGGTTACCCGACCGACCCTATTTTTAGGCTGCGACCCTAAAAGTTTTGTCGGCAAGTCAAAAAAAAAAAAAAAGATTGAATAAATAAAAATAAATGTCTTGTCTGTCTTCACAAAATACCTCTCAACAACCCTTTTGCATCAAAAAATGCTTGTATTTATTGTTTTCTTACTTACATTCGCTATTTTTTCAAAAGAAACCTCCGTTATTTTTACAAATTCGCTTCACGATTCAACTACTTCGCAATTCAATGTCTATAATCACGTGCGTAATAAGCGCAATGCGGCGACGACTGGTTCCCGCCACGCTGCGCAGGGGCCAATGATGAAAATGCGGTGACTAGTCTGTACACGGCTATGCGATCGATAGCGCTAGCATGGCTATGCAGGCGCAGGCACGTGCTCTGTCAACTGGTCGGATTCGACATCGTAAAAATGCCAAGAAGACATCGTAAAAATGCCAAAAACACCGATGGAGAAAGAACATTTTTGCAAGTAAATTCACAGATTTGATATAGCTTGTCTGTGTATGTATTTTCCTTGCTCAAGAGTTCATTTTGAGATCGCACTACTCGTATTTGGAGTGATACAATGCAGCGTGTTTCCTGAAATGTTCGACCCGTTGGCCGCGGGCACATGTACATGTACATGTACAGTGCATCACACACTTCGGAGTTTTGGCCAGCTCCCCTTCTTGACTAGCGTTGTGCATATGGTGCGAACGACCTGAATTTTCCACAATTTTTTTACGAATTATCGAACGTAAATATATTGACGATAATTAAGGTAGGTTTTATTCACTTTTTGTGACCATTTTGTGTATAGCTTTCGTAGTGCAATGGAAATAGTTCAGGCTAAAACTTTGCATATAATTGAATACCCCATTCAATCTGCATAAAAAAAATTGGCAAAAAAAAAAAATATTCCGACCGACCGACCCTATTTTTGAAAGGCATGTAATCGGAAGCAGAACTATTCTTTTTGTTGGCCTAAGGCCTAAAAACTCTGATTATCTGATCATCCAGTATATGGACGACCACATATACCGGTATACGCACCAATTTCACTGTCCTCTGAAGTCACACTTAGCACAGGAAGAAATGATTGGTTTGTTTTGTTTAGCTTTTTTGGCAAATTTGTTTCTTTGAGACTTTGAATAGTTAAATATTACAACAACACCTCTATGAAAACACTCCAAAAGGTATAGGCATTTTGAAACCTGACTGTATAATGAACCCCTTCTCAAAAATAGGTCAGTTGAGGGCGCACTGACTAGCGGATGCCTCGCGAAGCGCGGCATCCTGCAAGAGACACAATCTTCTTATCGCCCGCCTTTCAGTCAGAGCTCAAGATGCAGCCTGGATAGGTTGTTAAACTGTTTTCTCTAGTAGGTTTGAAGTTCCACTTGCCTAGCTTCAATCCTCCATTTTCAAGATAAAGTGTATATTTCCAACGCCGGTCGGCCGACCAACGTTGGAAAAAAACTGGCTTTTTTCAAAAACTGTTCCTAATTTTTCATATCGCATTTTGTTTGCAATTGATTACACACCTGCCTGTGAAGGGGTACAAGCCTTCTAGACTGATTCTTGACCTTACAATTCCCAAAAGTCTATAAATTGCTCCGTTTCATCTTAAGTGGGGTCAGGGAACCAGACTACAAGAACATGATGGGTTTTCTTGGTTTTTCCTGCATGTACAAGCCCAAAACGTGAAACAAGTCAGTTTAACAACATTTGCCATAACATACTAATCCTCCAAATCCATTGATTTTTGAAAATGCAGCAAAAGCAAATGTTGTACATTCCCTTTAATTGCTTGTGTGACAGGCCCCCATACGGTCTTCTGTGTGTTATACATCAATCAAGACTAAACTAATTTTCATTTTACTTGTTTGTTAGGTGAGAGCAGTAATCTCTATCAATGGCTGTCATGTTCATACGCTGTTTCCTCTCACAGTGAATGGAGTGCCAGTGCCATATATAACGTGAGTAGACTAATGTTGTGCAAACCTGACCCCAAACTGAAACCGACCCGAAACCGACTTCGGGTCGGGTCGGGTCAATTTTTCCATCATTTCAGTCAGGTGGGGTTGGTTTTAGTTTCGGTTTTACGTTTGCGATATTTGGGTTGGGTCAGTATAGCCATCATGTGAAAAAACCCCAAAATAAACCAAATAAACCAAAACAAAACCAGAAACAGTTCAGCAATTCACGCGGTAAATTTTTTTAGGCAGACTAGAGTTATTGTACCTGGAATGACCAATGTCATTCCACTGCGCGATTGTGCATGCGTGCATTGCGGCGATCACGCACAGTCTATAACGTGTTGGTCTTCACCTTAGGCCCCCAAAAACGTCTCCGGTTTCTGGTATGCGCACGCGTCGCCTGAGCCATGCGCGTCGGCAAAATTTAAAAAAAAAAATTTCAATGTAAGATATTATCTTAAACTGCCAAACTCACTAGTTTGACTGGAATCCTGCTGCTGCACAATTTTAACCAGTTTTTAGATGGGGTTACGATCGAGTATAAGCTTTATGCGGCCTCTCTGGGCTCCCACACATTTTGCACTAAATTTAGTCGGGCACCATTTGCAGTCATCAGCCGACATTTGACGGGAAAAAAGTAAAAAAAAAAAAAAAAAGCCGTGTCGCCGCACCTTTTTGGGGGCAAGCTCCATACCAGAAACCGGAGACTTTTTTTTGGCCTTATGCCTCTTCACTGTACCGTATTATATGATATGATTCGTTACCAAGAGACATATTGATTTTGTTCAGGCACAAAAAACAGACACAGTTTCACGGGCCAGATATTCAGGGTTTTAAAAAAAAAATTTGGGGGGGGGGGAGGAGGGAGGAGGGGGTTTCGGTTCAGTTTCCGGTTGGTTCAGGTCAGTTATTGCTTGATTTTTTATCGGGTGGGGTCTGGTCGGGTCGGATTCAGGAAGTTCAGACCAGTTTCAGTTCGGATTAGTTTTATATCTATGATCAGTGTTCTAGCCAGGCATCAAATAGCGCTAGCACCCGCTACGCTTTCGGAAATAAGCGCTACGCTTAAATCGCGCCGCTACGCAACCGCTACGCTATAAATTTTGGTTGCGAAAAAAAAAAATCTGCCGTTTGTTCGTATACAAGCGCAGCGACTTTGAGCATTGCGCACTGGCCGTACGACACAGCGAAAAATAAACAACGATCCCACCGCACGTAACCCGTACGATACCCCTACCGTGATGCTGCGCCACACGCATTCGCTATGATACATGTAGCAATAAGCACGTGCTGTTTTGTGCTGCGTAGATACAGCGCTCCGTACGACGTACGTGTCACCATGTCACGTACAGAGCGCTCTGTGGACCACACCATTTTGCGGTATCGGGTGTGCTTTCCTATAAAGGTCAATATTTACAAGCATTTCAACTGTTTTAAAATAAAAAATAATACTTTTTATCAAGTCCGAAACATGTTACTGTTTGAAAATAAGTTCTTCACGTCGGAACATAATTTTCGTAAAGGATTTATTCGAGAAACGATGTCCAAAGAAAGGTTAAGCACCCCTACGATATCAATGGATCCGTCCACAAGATGGCCGCACGTGAAGAATTCTTCTCGAAGAATGTCGCTGTCGAAAATTTCAATTTTTGACCACACTACTCGTTGCTGATAATAACAGTTCGATAAGTTTGGTAGTAAAAACGGATCTGTTTGTTCTTAGGACAAAACCAATTAGCAAGTATTGCAACAAAGCAAGTTTTTAGCGCTCCACGAATGCGTTGCTTTCTCAAATGCTGAGGGAAAATTTGGTCGCGTAGTTCGCCGGCGTAGCCGGTGTGAGCTGGCCCGCGCCGCGCCCGCACGCCGGGGCCGGCCGCGGCCGGGATAGGAAGCAATTCCCGGTGATTATTTCTCATCGTCATTATCTACAATTATATTTTTTAACATAACAAAAATGAGATTTCTCCTTCACATTGTGTTGTAGCATATTGAAATTGCAATCGCCGACAACTTTTTCTGTCTGGGACCTCCATGGTTTTACAATTTCTCTCCCTGCCGATCGGATGGTTTTATTTACAAATTTAAAATCGGAACTACTGCTACTACGGCAGCGCTACACAACACAAGGCTTCTTGAAATATGAACGCAAAATATGAAATGTTCATGCGATTTGTTCTCGCACTTAATATTGACAAAGTAAATCCCAATTTTTTATAAAACATTGAGGAACTACTAAAAATGGTTAAACATCAGAAAGCATCGATCTTGGAACAATTTATACAAGATAACAATCTAAAATTTGAAAACAGAAGAAACTTTACAGGAGCAAGACTATCAATCATTGAAACAAATAAAACAAAATTTCTTATAATTTTAACACTTCTGCTAAAAAAAAAATCAGGGGAAAGTGGCAGGGAATTGCCTCAGATTGCACCACAGAGCATCTAGAGTCCAAAATTTTTCGGGGCCCTTAAGCGGGCCCCGGACCCCACGCCGTAAGGGCTTCGCGCTCCGCGCTCGCATTAGTCGTTGAACCAAAATTACCCCTACGCTATAATTTCACCCTGGCTAGAACCCTGTCTATGATAGATGCAAAATGTTAGAATAGACCCTACACTTTCAGTCCTCTGAAAACTGAAAAGACAAAAGCGTACTAATGCTGGCCCCAAGCCAGTCTAACTCGGAGCACGATGGCTCTTGAACATGGTGAAAGTTTTTAATCCAATGGAAAAGAGAAATTCTGTTGGATTCATGTGTATAGTGTTTGATTTAGGTAGGATTGTTAGAAAGGTAAACATACCTTGGGATCTCGAGAGGCTTGTGATGGGTAACTCTCCACCCGGTGGGCTTGAAATGCAAAAGAATATATTTCATTCCTCCAGCCCCACAATTAGCAAATGCTCATGTGATAATGTACAATGTGTATAGAGTTGAAGGTGAAGCCCATACTAACATGATTCTTAGCAAGTTGGTTGTGTGATTCCAATAACAACAGATTAACAACATGTGATTAGCTTGAGAAGTATCACCTACTTGAATTTGCCATGAATATTTTAGTAAGAAAGGAAACTAGCCCTACTTTCTGGAATCTTAATTTTTCTTAAAAGTAGTAACAATTTAGCAAATCTTCCTTTGACCGCGTTATGTGTTTACTGTTTCTGTCTTCTGAATACAAATAGTGAGAGGAAAAGCCAATAACCTATTTTCAAACCTTGCAGATGTGACATAGGCAGCATGAAGCCTGCACCAACGGAAGGTGCCCAAAGTCTGTTTGACACCTTCAAGGCCATCTATGATATGGAAGAGGACAATCATACCATCTACAGGGTAATCCACAAACTTTGTATTGAGCCGTTCTGAATTAGGCACTTGCTTTTTGAAGTTGCCGATTATTCCAAGTTGCTCAAATTTTGTCTCGGCCGGTGCCTAGCCTGGTATACGTCACAGGGAAGTGCATGCCATAGACCTTTATCATGCTGCCACCATTAATCAGTCATGTTCCCTGAATCCAATAACAGTACTAAATGATGAGATGCACTTTCATCCATGATGTACAGGCTGAGTGAAACAAAATTGGAACCCAAACCCCAACAAATGTATTTCATATTAAAAAAAATACGTAGCACCAAACATTACAACATGTACAAAAATCAATTTCATCAGCTCCTTTTAGATGAAAAAAATTACTGAAATTACTCAAATCGTTCAAAGAATATATGTGATGCGATCAAGCTAAATGAGTTGTTTGTCAACCCCGGTCAAAAAAAGTTTTATTACAGATTTGAAAAGAGCACAATCTCAGCATTACTGCATACTGCTGTGAAAACCGCATGCTGATACCATCGTTAGTTCAACAATTATGGAAGTTGGAACACCAAGAGATGTGATGAAGTGATGTGATGAAGTGGCCCTATTTTGGCCTGTATCTCCAATTCCTGACAAACGACTCATGTAGCTTGATCGCATCACATATCACCATTTAAACACAATGACCCTACAACCTGTTCCGGCCACACACAAAACCAGCAGTTTATTGTATATTCTGTTTGGAACAACAAAGAAAAAGACACAGAATACTTGTTTGAACAACTGTCAACAACTGTAGTACACAGTGTTTTTAGTAACAACCCTGGTTAGGCAAACATTATGAATCATAAAATCCACTTTTCTTTAAAAAGAGGGGCCTTCAAAAGGACTTTGTTGAATATTTTTAACTTTAAACTTAGGATTTATCGCTGGTGATGTTTGGAGACAATGGTGACGACAATTCTTGAAATCACATTTTTGGACCAAAGGGGATTTAGGGTCATTGTGTTTCAAAAATGATATTCTTTGAATGGATTGAGCAATTTCAGTACTTTTTTCATCTCCGAAGTAGCTTTTTGTAAAAATATGAAATATAATTTTTGGGGTTTAGGTTCCACTTTTTTGACTCGCCCTGTGTTTTTGGCCTGCTCACCAGATTGAAAATGCCACAAATTGCCAGTTTCTGTTCATCACTGGAGAGGGTGACGAACTCTGGGACAGTTGTTACTACGCACGGGAAGCCATGAAGCGCCTAGCGAGACATGGCCGTCACAACTATCAACTACTGACCTATCCTGGTGCCGGACATCTGATTGAGGTTCTATATTCTCCAGTGGCCATGGTTGTTTATTCAATTGCCATTGGTAAGAGACCATATAATCCAGGGCAGATTCCCCCCCCCCCCCCCGAGCCAACATTTGCCAAAGTGTTATGACTTCTGTACAGTGAAATCCACTGGTTGAGAACTGCTTATGTAACATACGTTTTAAATGGCTCATCAAACCCTCCTATGTATGCAAACATACATACCAAGTAGTACTTTCAGTCAATAACAATCAAGTGTACTGTTTTCAACAGTTAAGAATTCCCAGCCTATACATTATAAAGCAGGATTGACTGGCTGTGAATGTTTAAGTAACTTGATGCAGCTATGCTTTGACTCTGGGTGAGTGATAAAACAGGTGTGACCACGACTTGCCTACTTTGTCTGTTGACCCAGTTTGACTAGTCACAGTGCTTGGTTGGCATTATGATCTGACTGCTGGTGACAGCCGTTGTTAAAAGTGTAGCAGGGTAGTGAGGTACATTAGTAACAAAAATGCTAAGGATCGTTACACAGTGGACAAATTAAAGCACCATTTTTTCACCAAAGCATCTCCATGGTATACCTTTTCGAAAAAAAGAAGGACGCAAAATATTGGATGATGGAAAGGGCATGTATGACGTCATTATGACGTCATCAGCTAATTATTACATGAAAAAATATAAATTAATAATAATCTTCAGAACTGCAAGCATCTCAACAACAAGATTGGTATCAAATTAAAGGGGACAACAAGATCTTTCATTTGAGTGGTATGTCATTGGGATGGAATATAGTTGAGGGTGATTTTGTGGGTCAAAAAAACCTTTTTGGTCAAAAGACCTGTTTTTTCGGCTAAAATCATGGATTTTGGGTAGGCACTTTGACACCTTGTTTTAACATGCAAACAGTATGTGGTATTGTGAGATGTTGTTTTTAAGTCAGAGAGAAAGGCTCAAATTCTATGCCAAAAGAGTTTTTGTAATTGATTATTAGTATCTTAAATATTTAAACTTGTTCCAAAGATAAGCGGAAAAGTGAGGTACCTTTAATAGTGATAAAATCGTGACACGGGTGGACAAAAGCACCATTTTCACACCAAAGTATCTCCATTGTTTACCTTTTCGAAAACAAGGTAGGATACAAAAATTGGATGATTTGAAGGGCCATTTATTACATCATTATGACGTCATCGGCTAATTATTACACACTTATACATTAAAATTGAGATATTAGTTAGGAATAAGCCGTGGATCGTTTTTTTTACATTTAATATACGTTTCTGAGATCAAGGAAATCAGTGCAGTTGCCAATTTTGTTCTTAGTTCTTTAAAAGATTTAAATACAAATAGTTTGATAAAATGAGGGATGTTTTCTAATATAATGTAATAAATTAAACATGTATGTACATGTACATTTGACCCTCGCTCCTATCCCCTGTTGTGATCAATGATTCGTTAAAATGCAATGTCTTACGTCATGATTATCTCATAAATGTTACCTCAGGAATGACGCCACGAGGCATTATTTTCCACAAAAGTTTCTACTGTCCCTTCAGCTCCGTATTCTACATCAACTGGCAATGCATTTATTGCCCTAAACCCTTCAACATTAGCCAGGAATTGAGCATATACTTCTCCGGCATTACAATTTAAACCTTTTTGTGGACAACATAGTTTTTCTGGTGTAGTTTGCATGCAGATAATGCAAGCAGTCCAATCCATGATGACTGTCCTGAAATACGATAGTAACAGTTCACATAAGCAATAAAAAGGTAGAATGTTCAAACCAATTATACGTTCCAATGTTGCAAAATAATACGTTTTGTGGAAGTTTGTAAACTTGCAAAGGTATATTTTACGCAAGATGAATTATATCTACAATTTCTACAAAGACTTCTGTTCATTTTTACCAAACTCTCTAATAGTTAATAAACAAGACTACAGATGAAGCTTTTTTTAAAGATTATTTATTTGCACGATCTCAGTCGCAATCCAGCTTTGTGGAAACAAGAAAGGATAAACTACTCACACAGTGGACCTTCAGAGATCCTCTGCTCGTGTAACACAGAAGATGATGTCTGATGGATACTTCAATAGGATAGACGGTCCATCAACGACAAGGATGGTGCATTTAATCGAGAAACACACTTGTGCTTGTGCATCATGGATAATTGTTTGTCTTTTTCACGTCCCAAACTAAAAACCCTTACAAACTGCAGGACATGACTTGCTGCACTGGTATTGTGTTTGTAATGGTTACAGCCCGATAGTACGAAGGTTCTCTAGTCCGAAGGGTCATTAGTCCAAAGGTTCGTAGTCCGAAGGTTCAGTAGTCCGAAGGTTCGATAATCCGAAGGTTCGATAGTCCGAATGGACGATAGGGTTCGATAATCCGAATTGAGAAAAAGGTTCGATAGTCCGAATTGAGAATAAGGTTCGATTGTCCGAATGGGCAATACGGTTCGTCAGTATGACTCTTCGGACTATCGAACCTTACTGTTGATTCGGACTATCGGACCTTATTGTCGATTCGGACTATCGAACCTTTGGACTATTGAACCTTATTTTCAAGCCCGCTGAAACAAACTTTTGCCAGGGGGTGCTGGAATTTCTAAAGGACGGACAAAATTAAGGGCCCCTAAAAGTTTTGGAATATGGATGCTCTGTGGTGCAATATGAGGCGATTCCTAGCCACTTTCATATGACTTTTTTAGCGAAAGTTTTTTGAGATTATAAAGACAATTTATTTCACTTTTTTGTTTAGAATATACTGTTGCTCTTATAACGTTTCTACTGTACTGAAAAGTCGAAAGCCCTGTATTTTTATCTCCATTCTTTGTTCCATTTAATTCTGGACAAAGAATTGTATCATTATGCACTGTGATGAAATATACTGAAGTATATACTTAAACTTATAAAACCCAAAAGGGTGTTTTTTTGGTTCAAGTTAAAACAAAATGGTTCCACTGGAAGCGGGTGAATTTCTGTTCATGAAAATATTCACATAGGCCTAAACGATGTAGCTCATGATATATTTGCAGTGTTATTTGTTTGTTACAGGGAATGACAAATATAAAAGACTAACAGACCAAATGCATCTTTATGTTTATGATCGGTAGGTGGCAAGTTTGGGGCTAGGCAAGGATTTATCGGTCTACCTAGTTTTTATGAGAAAAAACTAAAACGAAACTACACTGGAACTAGTTTCAATGGAAGCCCGTCCCACTCCTATTAGGTTGGGATGTGTGTGAACCTTGATATTTGTTAATGTTGAGTACAGAATGCTAGCAACGTCAATGAAACTTTTAAATGAAAAGAAAAACCTTCAGGGGAAAGGTATGAACTTTGCCCCTATTGAAAGATCGAATGAAAAAAAATCGTGGCAAGCATAATCAACTTTGCCACCATTGTCATGGCCGAGGTTTTTTTTGGGGGGGTCAAAGCTTCAATTATGGCGGAAATATCATAGACATGTCATGATTTTAGATACATTGAGAGAAATATCGATTCTGCACTGCCTGAAATATAAAAAATACCTCCTCCTGATATTTTACAGTGTTACTTTGTGCTAGACGTTCGAAGCGCCGCGACTTTTTAGCAAACGTTTTTTTGAGATTATAAAGACAATTTATTTCACGTTTTTGTTTAGAATATACTGTTGCTCTTATAACGTTTCTAGTGTACTGAAAAGTCGAAAACCCTGTATTTTTTATCTCCATTCTTTGTTCCATTTAATTCTGGACAAAGAATTGTATCATTATGCATGACATCGCATGTAAATAATATTGTTGCTAGGCTGCTTTCTTACATTTAGTAAATTCCGTCGTGTATATTTTGTTTTATTTTCCGAGCCCTTACGGCGTGGGGCCACAGGGCCAGGGGCCTGCTTTAAGGCCCCTGAAAATGTTGGATTCTGGATGCACTGTGATGAAATATACTGAAGTATATACTTAAACTTCTAAAACCCGAAAGGGTGTTTTTTGGTTCAAGTTAAAACAAAATGGTTCCACTGGAAGCGGGTGAATTTCTGTTCATAAAAATATTCACATAGGCCTAAACGATGTAGCTCTTGATATATTTGCAGTGTTATTTGTTTGTTACAGGGAATGGCAAATATAAAAGACTAACAGACCAAATGCGTCTTTATGTTTACGATCGGTAGGTGGCAAGTTTAGGGCTAGGCAAGGATTTATCGGTCTACTGAGTTTTTATGAGAAAAAAACTTGCAAAGGGTAACACATGAATAGCTTTTTTATTAAAACGAAACTACACTGGAACTAGTTTCAATGGAAGCCCGTCCCACTCCTATTAGGTTGGGATGTGTGTGAACCTTGATATTTGTTAATGTTGAGTACAGAATGCTAGCAACGTCAATGAAACTTTTAAATGAAAAGAAAAACCTTCAGGGGAAAGGTATGAACTTTGCCCCTATTGAAAGATCGAATGAAAAAAATCGTGGCAAGCATAATCAACTTTGCCACCATTGTCAATAGCCGAGGTTATTTTTTTCGGGTCAAAGCTTCCATTATGGCGGAAATATCATAGACATGTCATGATTTTAGATACCTTGAGAGAAGTATCGATTCTGCACTGCCTGACAATTTAGAAAATACCTCCTGATATTTTACAGTGTTACTTTGTGCTAGACGTTCGAAGCGCCGCGCTTAGCCGCGGCAAAACTAGAAACGAACAAAACGAAGGAGATATTTTTAGAGCAAGCATAATGTATAGCGCAGCGGCGCAATTTCAACGTCGTAGAACACTGCTGGCTGGAACACATTTTTGCCCGAGAGTAGGGGGTGCTGAAGCATATTTCAGCACCCCGATCCAAAAAGTTGGGGGTGCAGCACCCACAGCACCCTCCGTTCCCGCGGGCTTGTTATTTTCGTTTCGGACTATTGAACCATCGGACTGATGATTAACCTTAAATTCGGACTATCGAACCTTCGGATAAATAAACCTTCAGACTGATGAACCTTCGGATTAATGAACCTTCGGACTATTGCTTCAAATGTTCGGATTAACGAACCTTATTTCATTTTCGGACTAACGAAACCCCGTTATGGAAAATTTGTGCATTTGAACTATCGAACCTTCGGACTAAAGAACCATCGGACTATTGGACCTTCAGACTATCGGGCGGCCCCCGTTTGTAATACATTGTTAAAAGACGTACCATCACCTTTTCCGGCCACTCTGTTAATCTATTTCAAGTTACCACGTTCCTTTCTGTCTGGCTCCTATTAACCCATACCTCATTACCGGTAATATACAACACATATAAGAATGTTACGTCTTCCAGCTATAGTAAATGGTCAAAACAAATGGATGTGGTAAAGACCAAATTCAAGGAGCCGCACAATTTCACACAATTTATTTTCTGCGTGACAAATACCGTCATTGTAGCACTTTTGTCCATAATCAAAAATGCTTAGATTTTTCAAGAAAATTTGAAAATAGTGACGTCACTGCAAGAGCAAATCAGCTTATTGTTACTTAAATGTCACTGATTATATCACTCTTCAATTCCCTGACCCTCAAAATGTCAAATTAATTACTTGGAGTCTCATCACAACGCTTCACGACCTTATTTTCTACAATTAATTACTGTACAAGCTCGGTAGTATATTGTGACGTCATTATTACGTCATAAAGTACCCTTCCTGTCATCTGATTTTTTGCATCCTAAAATGATCGTAACACATTGGCAAAGCTTTGGTGAAAAAATGGTGCTTTTAAATACCATGTAACGATCCTTAGCATTTTTGTTACTAATGTAGCTCGCTATAAGATCCCTCACTTTTCCGCTTATCTTTGGAACAAGTTTAAACATATTTATGATACTAATAATCAATTGCAAAAACTCTTTTGGCATAGAATTTGAACTTTTCTCTCGAACTTAAAAATAACATCTCACAATACCACATACCGTTTGCATGTTTAAACAAAGTGTCCATGTGACTACCCAAAATCCATGATTTTAGCCTAAAAAACATGTCTTTTGACCAAAAAGGGGTTTTATTTGACCCACAAAATCACCCTTAACTACATTCCATCCCCATGACATACCACTAAAATAAAAGAGCTTGCTGTCCCCTTTAATTTAATACCACATTTGTTGCTGTAATGCTTGTAGTTCTAAAGATTATTATCAATTTATATTTTTTTCATATAATAATTAGCTGATGACGTCATAATGACGTCATACATGCCCTTCCCATCATCCAACTTTTTGCGTCCGTCTTTTTTTCGAAAAGGTATACCATGGAGATGCTTTGGTGAAAAAATGGTGCTTTTGTCCACTGTGTCACGATTTTTTCACTAAGGTACCTCACTAGGGGGAGTGGAAGTGGATTTTGACTGTCTGTGACTGTAAATAGCAGGAGGGTTAATACATCACTTATTGAACTCAAGGTAAATTGCCTTGAAATTCACAGCGAGTTTATAAACAGCTAGAATAGATCCCAGAGAATGTGTAAGCATAACAAACCAGATTCGAGCTTTATGACCGAAGCATTACATGTTGTCTTCAGAGTTGAACAATAATTCGAGTGTAAAAATTGAGAAAAAACTCCCAAATGCCAAAGTGACTTATCATTTATCTTTTTGCTTTCTTAATTACATGCAATTAGACTGGGCAAACTGGTCCCTGGGCCCATTTGTTATTAATAATAGTAATAATTACCCTGGATTGGACATTTGGGAGACATCCCCATAGACTTGTGCAAAAAAATTAAATTTTCCAACTTAAATGTGCCCTAACCCAATATTCCCTCGACCTTTTTCCACGAATTTCGGTATGTTTACTAATTAGACCAGGAGCAACAAATATAACCTAATTGCAACGATAAAATTGTGCCTCTAAAGGGGAGTTGTGACATTAGGGAGACATGGAAATGTCTCCCTAATGACCGATGTCTCTCATCGTGCGAAGAAATTGTACCGTGTCTCCTTAGTGGTACCATTACACGTATACTAATAATAGCGCTTTTACATCGCAACGGGGTATCAAAGGGCTTTACAATTATTATTACCCCTGTTTCAATGGGCAAACACTCCTGAAACTTTCTCAACTCCCTGGGGAGCATACACGGCCGCTAGGCAGCCATTTCGGCACTCTTGGCCGTAATCAACCTCTCACAGTAACCAACTCTGCCTCACAGGTACCCATTTACTCCTGGGTGGGGAGAAGCAGTGAGTGACAAAGCGCCTTGCCCAAGGGCACACACACCACAACCCCAGGCTGGACTCGAACCCACAACCTGCAGAATTACCTGCAGAGCACAAGTTCAATGCTCCAGACAGCGAGGCGATGGCACTCCACTGCCCCGGTTCACAAGTGACATTCACAAGTGACAGTCCGTCAGTCAGTCAGTCAGATAGGTAAAACGAGGACAACTGGCTGGCCCACTGGGACTAGCAATATATTACATCAAAACAATTTTAGTTTATAATATGGTGATGGTTTTATGCAAGCTCAGGTAAAAAAAAAAACACCTCAACTTATGATTACTTACGTCTCCGTTTTGGGGAACAATACCCCATGGACCACACCACAACACATGCCTGTCAACTGCCAATACTAGGCCATCAGCCTCTGGGTTTGGTGGGTATCAAATGAGGGGTATAATGTTCATTGTGATTTTTGGCAAGGTATGCACCCTAGTTGGAAAATATGTGATAGCATTACAGCGGTGGCAGCTTTTTGGGTGCTATCACAATAAAACAAGCATATTGATGGCCATTTTGAAAAAAAATAATAAAAGCGGTAATTAACTACCACCGCTCACACTGCAAAGCTATCCAAGGGCGGATCCAGGGGGGGGGGGGGCCAAAGGGGGCCATGCCCCCCCCCCCAAAAAAAAAACGAAATCAAATTTTTTTTTTTTTATGTGACATCGCAATAAAGGCAGGCAATGAGTACACCACCATCTTTTCCTCAAAAAACATTGGTTAAAGTGGTCAGAAATTGCCTCAGATCGCACCACAGAGCATCTAGAATCCAAAAAATTTTCGGGGCCCTTAAGCGGGCCCTGAACCCCACGCCGTAATTTTTTTGACCCACTTTTTGGGGGGACCAAAATTTTTTTTGGCCCCCCCAAAAATTGTGTTCTGGATCCGCCCTTGAAGCTATCACACATTTTCCAGCTCTAGATGTGCATACCTTGCCAAAAATCACTATGAGCATAGCCCCTTTCGATCATTTCGAAAGGTGGCCCAATTTTTGGACTGAAGCTGATATGACCTATACAGTTTTCTCATTGCATGTTTATTGCAGGAAGCGTAGTTGACCATGGAGGTACTATCAAGGATACAGCTAAAGCGATGGAGGACTCGTGGCCCAAGATGGTCAAGTTCCTGCATAACTACTGTGGGCGTAACAACTCCAAGCTATAAGCTCCAAAGTTTGTGAAATATGTTGGAACTATATGCTGCAGTTGAACAAATCCTACTTATTCAAAAAATATTACTGAATTAGAAACAGCAGCTGCTTTGATAATTGGCTTATGTTGATAAATGTATGTTGATAAATACATGTATATTTTTCTTTACAAAAATAGGTTTGCAATGTATTATTGCTGAAATATATTATAACTATGCTGCAGTTGCAAATCCTTCTTATTGAAATGTTTTACTGAATCAAAAACAGCAGTTGCTTTAACATAGGTTTTCCCGGCCAATTTCCTAAAATATTCATTCACTTCTGAAAATCGGTTATTCATTTTCGTCTGATTTTGAATGCACATCTTTAATCCCATAACATTAAACTAAAAATGAAATAGAATGACCAATGTTTGAAATCGCCCTCTAAAAGCGAAAAAAGTCTTGTAAACGAATCTGAATGAGCATAAACGCAAGGTGCTGCTCAATCACTGAACTGATTGAACTGAAATGGAATCGAATGCTCTGGTAGCGAAAATGCAACGCGTAATCAAAGCGATTCTCAAATTCAGACGAAAACGAATGACCGATTTTCAGAAGTGAATGAACATTTTAGGAAATTGGCTGGGAAAACCCATATAATGTGATAAATGTATTGGTTTGTTGAATAAGAAAGCCTTTTTTTTTGTTGGGAAGATCGCAGATCTGATCTATTTTTCTGTTCTGTAGATCCCAGAAACCAAAGATGAAATGACAAACAGAAATCTGAGGTGCGTTTTGGTGGTGTTAGCCAAGAATTGGTTTTGTTTCTCTTTGGTTAATTGTTTCGGGGATTTGAAATTCACCAACAAGAAAAAATGTATAATTCTTTACAAAATTAGGTTTGCAATGTATCATTCCTGAAATCATGCTAGTAGGATCTGCACCTCGGTCCAGATATATCTTGCTCTCTGCATCATTGATAGTGGTTATGTACATGTACAAAAGTTTAAGCCACTCTTAAGTCGACCTACGATGTGCTCGTACTGCGACTGAACTGTCGGCATCTGAGTGAAAATGTCACGCCCAGGTCACATCACTGAGAAATCGTGGATTATCATGGAATAATTAGTCGCAGTTCTTGCATAACTACTGTGGGCATAGCAACTCCAAGCTATATGCTCCAAAGTTTTTGAAATATATTGTAACTATACTGCAGTTGAAAATGCTACTTATTGAAGAATTACTACTGAATTACAAACAGCAGCTGCTTTGATAATTGACTTATGTTGATAAACATATGTTGATAAATACATGTATATATTTCTTTACAAAATTAGGTTTGCAATGTATTATTGCTTAAACCCTAAAAGGGCCAGGTTGAGGGGGGGGCGGATTTCGCCCCCCCCCCCTTCAACTTTTGGATAAAAAAAAACATTCGAAGTTGGAGACATTTATTTATTTACCCAGACTATTATATATATGCCCAAACAGTGAAAAACTGGTTTCCATTGGGGCCCTGGATGCATAACAAATTATTAAATTTCTTGAATATTGTTAAGTACCGTATTACAAGTTAAACACATAAGGAAGATTACATTTGTGAAACATACGACGAACATTAATATTTACAAATACTTCTTGCATTAATGTTCGCATAACAGACATATGATTCAATCGGCTGTTCCTAATGTATCCGTTAAATGTTACTCGGTCAGAATTCCCATTTTGTTATTTGTGTATTTAAGGCAATTCTAGGATTATACGGTATTCATGCATTTTGTTCACTTCCAAATCATACAGCCAAAGAATAATGTTCAAAAACTATAACCTGTTCAATTTTCAGCTCATAAGATGATCATAGACAACCTCTCGGATGACGATGATGATTTTTAACAGAACAAAAACCCACTCCCTCATCTCACGACTGCCATATAAGCGCAAATGGTATATGTATGTGTTTTTATGAGTTGTTCATGAGTTAATTGCCCAGGAAGCAGGTGCTTGTTGTCGAGGTGGTGAAGCCACCTCCCTGTAAAGCAGGCTAAGCGAAGCCTCGTTTAACTTCCAATTTGTTCATTGTTCAGATTTCTGTAGTATACATCATATACCCACAACAAATAAAAGGACACGTCTCAATTCTTGCATGATTATTTGATTGTATTAAATATCAAATAATTTCAGTAGGAAATACATTGTTGATGTCCAAGTTTGGCAGTGAGCATGCATAGCATCTTGACATGGCTGATCACAAGAAGTACTAACATATATTTTTGTATAATTGATACTGGCGATCAGTATCGGTTTATACAAGTGAAACTGAAATAACTTCTGAAGGAGGAAAACAAAGTTATTCAACTTTATTTTATCCACTCAACTTAAGAAGCCAAACAGGGCCAAAAACAAGACACCAATCTTTGGATTGATAATATAAATATAATGTTATAACAATGCATTATTAATTTACAATATTTTTTTTTTTACAATTATAAAGAATGCAGCATTACAAAAATTTATTTCATAGTACAAGGTATATTGTTACATGTAGCCCATGGCAGCAAGGCACATGTTGGCAACGTAAAATACTGATTTCCAACTCTTGTATGACCTATTAGTTTTGACATTTGAACCCTTAACCTTATTAAATCCGTACCGAGTTTGACTAAAAACAGTACCAAGTCTGCAAAGACCAACCACTGAGTCATTGGTCCTGCAGCATTATGTGAAGCAGAGTCTCTGCTTCACATAATGCTTCAGGACCAAATTCGCCCCAATCCATCACAAATCCACCACAGTTATAGGTGGATTTTTATGGACAAGTTTGGTACTCATGGCTTGCCTACCAAAATCCCCCAAAATTGGGAGACGGATTTAGATGGAATTGGGAAGCTCAGAGTAAATGTAATGCTACCCTCTGATTTAAGGGGGAAAACACTTGATTCGCCGATGTTGCTTATCTCAAATACTAAAGCAAATCTAACGGAACTGGCCCCACACTGTGATTGTATTTTTACTCACCGGAAATTAATAGAGGAATAAGTTAAATGGATAGAATGTAGTATCCAGATGACACTTCTTTGGTTGTTTACAAAGGCTATGGAGAGTCGAATGCATTTCCAACAAATTGGAAATGTTTCTCAAAGACTGACCTTCATTGAGATAATATTTGATGAAAAAAAGTGGCGTCGTGATGCAACATTCTTTCAAGCTAAATTGTTATTCACAGGAATATCTGATCAAATATTTTTATATACCCCTCTGCCCCACATAACAATGTGTCACATACAATCTCCTGCCCTAGACTAGAATGTTAAGTCTAGTTTCCATATCCATGCTAAGCTTACGCAGACTGCACAGACTGCACAGACAGTGTGTGGAATTCAACTTTGCCGATCGTCTGGGAGATAGTGTGCGTCTGTCTCGGTTGTCAGTGACATTTGCAGATTCAGTCAGTGACATTTGCAGAATGTTTCCATATATGTCTGCATTGCAGTTTGGGGCTTGTTTGCATTGCTCTCTGTGGTTCTCACCTCGATGTGATAACTAGGCTTTTCTTGCTGTCTGGGAGCTAATTGATCTTCTAGGGAAAGGGAAATCCTTCAGTTGGAAGTTACCATTCCCCACGTGTGGTTTCCACCTCGACATTCCTCTTTCTACAGATCATAGCTATAAGGATGTCTTAATAAACAGATTCATTGATGGGTTTCACCCACAAAACAAATCAGATTTTATGTGGCTGAATTTCATAATTCAGTAATCACCAGAGGCAATGATTGTATGAACTTGATCTGACCACTCAAAAGTAATTTGCTTCTGTCTTTTTATAAAGCGCATTCTTGGTTCTAGATTTTTGCAGATTGAAGTATACCCGTGTCCATTCCTATTGGTGCTCAAAGCTTGGAATAGTCACTGCCACAGCACTTATGCAGGAACTTGACAATCTTGGGCCAGGAGTCCTCGTTTGCTTGTGCCGTGCCCTTCACTGTACCTCCATGGTCAACCACGTTTCCTGTAGCAACGAAAAATGAATCAAAGTAGAACTCGAACTACCAAAACAGTTTTTTGATTACAAATACCAATCTAACAAACTATCAAACTGCTCATGGAAAGATGACCTATAACAGAGCTGAACACAAATCTGGCTAACTTTTTTCAGGATCTGTTGTCAGACTTGAACCTCAGACCATAAACTCTATGACACATAATGGCTCGGTGTGCGAACAAGCAAGACCACTTTTGAGAGCCTATGGACAGGACACACCTCGTGCACCTACTGGTTCTTATATTATACTTATGGCTCAAAGTACAAGTACGCATTGCATCCACATAAAGCCGTAGCATCTTTGCGTGACTGTCAGGCGTCATCGGGAATGTTTTTCGAACATCTCTCCCAGTGGTCTCCCCCAACTCTCCCTTTCTTACCAATGAGGGGGTACTTGTACACGGAGCCCAATTGTGCCCAATCAAAAAACATACAGCAGTTTTGAACGGTGATGCGACAATCTTGCAAAGGGCTTTTCAAGTATTTATATGTCAATTCATCATTAAAATAATAATACCAGTCTTATATAGCTCACGTATCTACCAATAATTAGGTACTTAAGGCGATGGTAATTATGTCTAATCAATGAAGTTTATGAGAAATATGAGACCCATTATGTAGCACCTTTATAAGGGTATACAAGGTGCTGCGACGCATATTGCAGCCACTGCCAGAAACTAATGAAGTGCCTTGCTCAAGAGCACAAGCACCATGTTCCCCGTCAGGATTCAAACGCAAGGACCACGGCACACGAGTTAACACCGTAACCATTGGACCACAGCACTCCATCCCCACAAGGGGAAGTGATCAGGTTCTCTTGGAAGCAGTTTTGAGTAGAACAAATAAAACTTGAGTGAAGAGGGAAATTCAAACCAACGATGGGATGGGTCGAGAATGATGGGTCAAGGATTACACCTCGGATGACTTCTGTTAAAAGTTCTTTAGATTCGAATAAGGACCTCAGCTTCACCTTTAATTTCAGGCTTTGGTGTATGCACACACACAAGTATTAGTGGGGTGCTGTGGTCCAATGGTTACGGTGTTCGACTTGTGTGCCATGGTACATGGGTTCAAATCCTGACGGGGAACATGGTTCTTGTGCTCTTGAGCAAGGCACTTTACCGTTATTGCTCCGTCCTTCGGATGGGACGTAAAGCCGTAGGTTCCATGTGTTGTGTAATGCACGTTAAAGAACCCAGTAACACTAATTGCTAAGAGAAGGGCTTTGCCCCGGTGTTTCTGGCAGTGGCTGCAATATTCGCCTAGCATCTTGTCAACCATTATAAGGTGCTTCATAATGAATCTCATATTTCTCACAAACTTTATTTACCTATCTTTAATAATACACATAATCTCCAGCGCCTTGAGTACCTAATTGTTGGTAGATACGTGCGCTATATAAGACTCCGATATTATTATAGAAGTACAAGTAGCAAATACCAGACATGGGTACAAGGGTTGATGTGGGCTATACATGTGTTAGCCCAAAGTTTGATATAGTAGCTTGTGGTCGGGCTCAGTTTTTGGCAACAATTTGAGAGTTTACATCAGCAATTTACCTAAAAATGCCGAGAAGGACACCCCACTGGCAGGTACATATGGAACCTCAATCAGGTGCCCGGCATTTGGATAGCTCAGCAGTTGATGGTTGTGACATCCATGTCTCTCCAGTCTCTGTATGGCTTGTTGTGCGTAGTGGCAGCTGTCCCATAGCCTATCAGAGTCTCCAACGATGAAGAGAAACTTGCAATTTGGAGCATTTTCAAGCTGTTGGGAAACAAGTCATTATTCCTGAGTACCCTGTCTCAAATTAAAGACGTTTTGCAAGGAAGCTTTCTGAAAAGCCAGCACTGCATCTTGCAGAAACCCAATATATAGTCCATTCTTACCACTTTATCTTTCAAGGACCATCCCTAACAGTCCTGAATCCTCCAATTTCAATATGATTTTGCACACCCCTAGGGAGTTAGGGTTAAGATGACTGAAATGAAATAACAGAAGTGGGACTGCTTCCTAAATTAATCTTGAAAAATCCTACGGAACTTCCTTGTGTATTTTGAAGGATCTGAGAGGGTAATTGGATTAACAGACTTAAATTTTCAAATGGGATTAAAGGTAGATTACATCATTTGCAGCTATCCAAGTAGTAAATGACCGACTTACTGTTTAATAAGCTTACTTGGTTTAAAGATAGTAATGGCACTAAACTCCCTGTGACATTATTCCTTCTGGCATGCTATCATTTTGAAAAAAAAAAACAATAAAAGAAGGTCATTTCCAAAGATGCGTCTAAAGACACATTTTTAGAAATTTCCGTAAGTCATCCGTTTTTTAATTCGGCGAAGCCTTGCATGGGTGCGCGCAAACGTTGACACAATGCACACGCTTTGTGTGGTTGCTATAATTCATCGGTTCAGTGCGTGACATCGCATAGTTACAATCGGCTGAATTAAAACGCTTCCATAAATCAGCACAAAAGCGAACGATGAAAACGTTGTCACATTTGTTTTAAATAGAGCTTTAGGAAATTTTAGTCAGTTTAATGGTTTGGTTTACTGAGTTGTTCGTTTTAACTGTTTGTGTAATTGTATACATGTACATGTATGTAACTGTTTCATAATGTGTCGATGTTTTTAATGTATGCGAGCAATTTAAATTACCCCTGTGGGATATAATAAAGATTACTTGACTTGACTTGACTGGAAAAATGACGATTTACCTTAAATATTACACCCTCCTCTTCTTTGACATCATAGACTCCCTTATAGCAATCAAACATATCTTGAGCTCCGTCCGTCGACGCTGACGATTTGATTCCTCCAAAATCAAACCTACCAAAAAATTTTAAGTTAAAGTAAACAATTGCTTTTCTCTTTCTGTTGTAAAGATGGGATGAATATTAGCCCAGGTTGAACGAAGTCTTCATTGCATTACGACTGACGTCCAGGATGACAATTCTCTACATAAAACCACCCACAATTTTGACCAGAGTTTTGTTATGTTTTACCTCGTTATAGAAGCTTATTTCACACCTACATATTCTATGTGTCCTTATCTGTTGGGCTGATGGGTTCAGGAATTCCATATGCGATGCTGACCAACGTTAATCAGGAAAATAAACTCTAAAGCAACGTTAAACTTGTACGTGTTTGTAGACTCTCATCTGCAGTTTCTCATCACCATACTGCGCCGTACAAAAGCGCACATGCTAGCGCCCTCCTTGGCTGGTTTTGGTGGGAACGTGCAGTGACGTCACTCCAGCCAACCGAAGTCATGAAAACACTCCACCAATGACCAAAGCCGAAACATGTTTCTGGTCACAGTCGCTAAAACATGCCCGGTCATTGGATAGGCGACCGGGCTTACAAGTTAGTGCGCATGCGTTTGAGGGTGGTAACTTAGCCTGGTTCCATTTAGACATGAGCGTCGGGAATAATTGTCAGGTCTGGGAACCAGACTACTGGTTACTGAGCAAATCAAAATTACAACCAAAATTTGAAGATAATGAAGTGTTTTGGAGAGTGAAGCAAAGCAAGGGATAGCTTTTGTAACACAACGCAGTACTGTTAGTGGGTTGAAGGCCTATTTTCACATAGGACGCTTTGTCCCGCAACAGTGTCGCATGTTCTTATAACTACACACAAACTGACAAATCAATTGGCGTGTGTACATTTTACATTTGGATCTACAGACATTTTTCAAGTGCAAGGGCGGATCCAGAACACAAGTTTTTTTTGGGGGGGGGGCCAAAAAATTTTGGTCCCCCAAAAAAGTGGGTCAAAAAATTACGGCGTGGGGTTCGGGGCCCGCTTATAAGGGCCCCGAAAATTTTTTGGATTCTAGATGCTCTGTGGTGCGATCTGAGGCAATTTCTGACCACTTTAACCAATGTTTTTTTGAGGAAAAGATGGTGGTGTACTCATTGCCTGCCTTTATTGCGACGTCACATAAAAAAAAATTGGTTTCGTTTTTTGGGGGGCCATGGCCCCCTTTGGCCCCCCCCCCTGGATCCGCCCTTGTTCAAGTGCAGTCTATTATGCTTACTCAACAAACGGCAAAGCTTCTCCATTCAGGGTCATGGGGAAACTAGTGTAAACATGGGCACCGCTGATACTGACTACAGCCTTTACCTGATGGAGAAAAAGATTCACACACATCGACTGCTGATAAACTGAAATTTGAAACGAGAACACAAATAATGGAATTTGCTTTGTTGAACGCATCCAGTGCAGCTGTGATTTGTTTTGCTGCACAGGGTGAGTAAAAAAAAAGCGAAAGCCAAATGTAGGTACCATTGTTTTAGTGAAGCTCTGCAAGTAGCACTTTCAAAATCTAGGATATGGAAGCCCAATCCATAAGCATTCTTTTAATACAAGAATCATTCGAATCACTCATGTACTTTTCAAGTTATGGAATTTTCAACACAACCAGCGTTTTAAAGTTCTGTCCACAGATCACAAGAAGGTAAGTGCTCTTTCAGCAAAACGAAACGAAATCACATTGGGATGTGTGTGAATTGGTTTCATTTTGCTGAAAGACCGCACACCTTTTTTTGTGATCCGTGGACAAAACTTTAAAACTGTGGTTGTGTTTAAAATTCCGTAACTTTAAAAGTACATGAGAGATTTGAATGATTCTTGCACTTAAAGAAAGCTTATGAATTGGGCTTTCATATCCTAGGTTTTGAAAGTGCTACATGCAGAACTTCACTGAAACAATGGGCCCGACATTCGGGTTTCGCATTTTTTGACTCACCCTGTAGTTATTACTGTAAAGTAACGAAGTGAATACATCACGCGCACAAATATGTGTGTTGAAGACATAAGCGCGTGATTCAGTGTGGATTCAGCCCCTGAACTAATATGCGCGCGTACTTCATTCATTTGCACTACACTGCCCGGTTCTAAATGACGTCACACTTTGGTACTCTATTACGTGCTACCTTGTAAACAGACTACAAGAACAGCATTTTTTTCTTGGCTTTTCCAAAATCTATGAACACAAAACTTGAAGAAGGTTGATATAACCAATATTTGCTATAAAATACTAACCAAAAATCCATCCACTTCTAAACATTACAGCAAAAGCAGATGTTGTAGATACAATGTACTTTTTATGAGGACCCTTTGCACTTATAGTTGTTTTAACTTTGAAAATATGCAGTGATGAGCTGTCAAATTGATGGAATTTGTTATCTTGCCTTTTCAGGGAATTGTGAGACAGTTGCCAGGACATTTTGTGCCCCGATAGAGATGCCAACCATTGCAATACCGCCTGGCTTGACAAAGGGCTGATCAGCCATCCAGTCAATAGCTTCCTAGAAAAAAAAAATTACCAAAAATGATATCAGTCACGACAAGACAATGATAAAACAGAATGGTAGTGGTTATTATACCTAAACCTATCAGATAATACATATTATATTTTATACCCATGAAAAGTACAGTACATGCACTACTTGTGTGATTTTGTAGGGCCCCCAAAACCTTGTGATGAGGACACTTTGTCAATGTCCGTGGAACAAGGTTGTATCTCCTAAAATGGGCCGTACGTGAAATGCGAGCTTCAGAATGTCAAAAGGTTGTATCTCAATCACTTAACATAACCCACGCATGTTTACGTTACCTAGTGTGGACATTCCATTGCTTTCGTGTAGTTCAGAAAAACCAGTAAAAAAAACTCGTTTTTCTCAAACTGTGAAAACTCTTTCAACCCAATTTTTTTTCTAAGATTCCCTTTAGTGTTTCTCTTCATTCTGCCACTATAAACCTAACCCAAAAATGCCTCTAAACCTGTTTTCCAGAAATGGGGAATCGCTGTGTGGACTTGCCCAAGTCCACACAACGTCTCCTCTACCTGGTTTATGTGGACCTCCTTTGTTCGGCAGTCCACACAGTGAATGTAATGCCTACCCAAATGTACACACAATGTAAATGGACTTCAAGTTACAACCTTGTCGCACCGACGCGACGACTTGAAGGTCCCCACAACTCAGTCCAAAGTTTACAAACAACAAGTCTTGCATGACATCTATCAAAATGATCCCTGCCAGAGCTTAAAAATGTGACGCCCAAAAATGCGACGCCGGTGGCACACATGGAAACCATACTTTAGATTTACACCTGGATGTATAGAGAGTTGTGATAAATACCATAACCAAGTGACTACATTGATGCACACATTTTGCCTCCTTTTACAGTCTTTTCATAAACATCTTTTCGAATTGGTACAAACTGTTTCTGTTATTTATTTTGCTTGCTTTTCTTTGAAAATTAAAATTTAGCAGTTGTATTTTATGGGAAACTTAGGGTGCTAATTTTGGTCAATTTTCGGGGACAGACATACACATGTGCAAAATAAATGCGCATGCGCATTGTTCGAAACAAAATCAGTGTTCTGAAAACCTTCAGCAACAGTGTAGTGTATGACGACGGTATGGTATTTGGACAATTAGTTAATCGTTTTTGGTCGTATATTTTTGGTCAACCTAGGGGGCTTATTTTGGTCAATTTTCGGGGACAGAGAGACAGACAGACAGACAGACAGACAGACAGACTGACCACCAAGTGACATGAAGAAGCTCCTGCCAGAGCTTAATAGTTGCATCTTTCGAACCAGATCAAGGCACATAAAGATCCAAGGTTGAAGACTGATAAGACGTACATGATTTTTTTTATCTTTTTCTGACCAGGAAGTGAGCCCAAACTCACAGCAAGCTGTCTTCTGATGAGCAATCATCTCAGACCACACCTGCCCACCCCCATGTATATATCACCAACAACACAAACCAACTTTCTTCACCAAAAGTTTGTAGTGACCATAGAGCTATATTAAATTATTAGAGAGCTAACTCATATACAAAGTGATGCCTGCTGGGCGCATCCATGTTTGTGCACAAACCTATGGAGAACTAGAAATTTTGTACGGCTTTTGTACGTCTATTTGCATATCTGCATTTGTATTCCACACCGGTGCTTCATTGAAGCGGATACGCCCAAAACTGGAAAGCATGATCAGCAGATGAGAGTGTCATTTTGCTCTATACAAACAGCGAAACGTGTGCGCTTACCTCCACTGCAAATGTTTTTGCCATGACTTTTTTTAACCGTCATGACGTGTTTAAGTTGTTTGCGTATCTTCTACTTGCGCATTGCATTTAGAGTACACCTTTAAAGTTCAATCCATCTATTTTGATTGTGTTCTACAAACACGCACATGAATTCCAAATGTCTGCACCCACAGCGGCTTCAAAGATTCTCCGCGTGCAAGAATGAAGAGTTAGCGCTCTACTAATTTAATATAGCTATATGGTAGTGACTCATGTCTACAACCCATTTTACTTGGCTCGACTCAAGTCATTATGGGCAAATTTAATCGGCTCAAACTGAGTCACTGCGAGCAAATGACTCCACCAGTTTCAGGTCAAAGGCTCACACTAGGATTAATATGACGACTCAACCTTGTCAATGACTCGAGTCACAAAGTTCAGTGACTCATACAGCACTACCCTCACCTTAAAATATTCCAGCTCCAAGTTCCACATTTGAGAGGGCAGGTCGTCATATTTAAAATATGGCAAAGCATAGCAGGCGAGGCCGTGATATGCCAGTATAGCTGCTCTAGTCTCTATCAGTCCCCCCGTTGATCCATACATGTCGATCACACCAGGGAACGGACCTGGGCCTGGTATCAAAGACGAACACAAACACTCTTTGTTCGATATATTTGATCCACATTACGTCGAAAAAAAAAGGGGCACATTATAACTCTTCTCTTCTTGTAGTTTGCATGAAAATTTCTATCTGCAGACGTAGAAAAAGCAGGGACATTGTAAGCCAAAAAGGGTATTATACTGTGAGAGATGTAGGTTTGCCCCGTACTTAGAATAAACCATTTGGGAGTTAAAATTTAAATAAAATCTGAATGCTGACTTAATCCAATGCTTTGCACGTTTTAACTTTGCACTCTCCCTACCAAAGAGACTGTTACTATATCACGTGATTCAGGGGAAAGTCTTAATGCTGGCAGCCCCCAGCTCCGGCATGGTCTGGTGTCTTTGCGCCATTCTCACCCATTGTGAACAAAGTATTAATGTTAAGCATCCCTTGCCCTGAATCATGTGATTAGCAACAGTGTCTTTGGTCTGGAGAATTCAAAGTCAAAATGTGCCAAGCATTCTGAGCAAGTCAGTGTACCAGACGTTTTTTTTTTTTCAAATTTAAATCCCAAAGGGTATAGTCACTCGCAAATGGCTTATTGCTAATTGTGTGTACCAATTAGTGCTAAACTGTGGGGAAGAAAGTGGTACAGATTACTTAAAGATTCACATTCACAAAAACATGTTGCGCTTTTGATCATTTACTGAGCACACATGTACATTGCAAAGGTCAGGGTGACAAGAAATCCCATCAAGTCTTACATTCACATAGAAAATGTTGTTTATTTACATGTGACTAGGCAACCATGTACATGTATCACCAGCAAATAAAGCCATCAAATTACGAACCAAAGCCTTCAACATTGGACTCAAATGTAAACCAAGCGAGTAACATGTCACTGTGGGAAATCAGGTCCTGTGTGTTTGACATGTTTGAAGCAAAGTTTTCAAAGAGCTACAAAGTAGGACCTGCATCAAGACTAGCACTCCCAGGGTGCCATTTTCAGGGGACCAAAATTGTACCCCAAAATTCTTACATGAAAATCACAAACTTTCAAGGTAGAATGTGTCCAACTATATGTGGAAACAGGTTTGGCGTCCAAAATGGTGCACCGATATGAAAGGACTCCTTTTTATCGTGTTTATACATGGGAACTGCAATTTCTGTTGTCCGCATCCCTTCAAATCATGCAATGCATATTGATGGATTTGTTGTAGGGGTGATCAAGCAATCATTGTGAATTTACAATTCCACACATTTTGTAGCATATCCACGAGTCTTGTGGGGAGAATATATTTACCTTTTTTCCAAATTCCTTTTACTGAAATCAGTCAGTGTCCTGAAAAAATGAAGCCCAATTTAGCCTACTATCATCACAAATCAAGCTTCTTTTCCAACTACCTTTGGGTTTGAATACAGACCCCCTCAAGCGTCCGCTGTGGACCGTGATCCTCTCTACGTTCTGGCCCATGTACCACCTCTCAGCTGTCGTAGTAGCCTCCGGTTCAGCCGTCTGCAGTGTCATTGTATCCAGATGACCACCGTGTAGAGAGAGGTGCACCGTCATAGGTTTTGTGACATCTTTGCACACAATACGGGCACCAAAACGCTGGCCAGGTGAGGGAAGCATGCTCCACAACAGACCCATAGGATCAGCATCTTGGCGGGAAATGTTTCCAACTGTTAACTGTGCATGGAAACTGATTTATTTCTATTATAAGGGTCTGTGAAACTTGGCTTTGTCTCCGACTTCGTCTGCAGTACACAAATACAACATGGTTTGTGGGGGAGGGGTGAAAACTAATGACCCCGAGGCGTTGGATGATTGGCACTATCTACATGTACATTGCACAGTGCCAACAGATAGTCCCAATCATCCAACACCAAGGTATCATTTGTTTTCACTATTTCCCCACAAAAAAATATGTTGTATTTGTTTTACTATACCTCATAAATATTCATCAGGCAGCTGTGGTATTTCATTGGTCCAGTGTTTGTGCTAGACTTTCGAAGCGCCGCGCTTAGCCGCTGGAACACATTTTTGCCAGGGGGTGCTGAAGCATATTCCAGCACCCCAATCCAAATAGTTGGGGGTGCTGCAGCACCCACAGCACCCCCCCCCCCCTCGTTCCCGCGAGCTTGCACAATGCCAACGTTTTAAATCTTATCTAATCTCATGATGAGGTCAAAAAAGGAACGATATGGACTCGTTTGCCAGGGTACTATCTTACGACATATATGACGCATTACAATACATGACAAATCATTACCATTATACGTCCCTCCTAGCGACCTCTGATCAGGGACTGATACGACCCCCCTATCATCAGCGATGTAATGAGCATGACCCTCAAACTTCACTACACCATTCCGGGTTTCCTGCTCCAAGACAGATCTGGTAGAACAAAAACCCCACAATCAAACACAATAAAATGAACACATCTCCCTAATTAACACTGCTACACTTCTAGTAGTTGAAGAACACAAAAACAAGTACAGGTACTTACAAATATGACAGCATCAGATATGAAGTGAATCGCAAATGATGAGTGAAGACAAAGGAAAACAGAGGTAAAGTGTTTTGCCCGAACACACTTACATAGAATCCAAAGAAATAATTTTCACCACCTAAAGTTTCTGTATATTTCATTCAGGGTGACCGTAAGGTCAGAGCCAAATTCTGCTAAATGCACATCAAAAATCTGTCAGATTGATAAAAAAAATCTGCCAAATTACCTAGAATTACTTGAAATTCACTATAAACACTTAAAATCACATGCAGATTGGTAGTGTTGCCTTAATTACATGTAAGGTTCAAATTACATTATAAACAATCTATAGTCACATACAGGTGTTATGAAATTATCGCCTATATTTTGGGCATTTTGAGGTTCCCAGTGAACCTCAGCACCTAGACCAGCCAACCTGTCCCATTAAGCAAGGGTTTGTTTGAAAGGATTGAAGCTTTTTAAAACAAATGTACTATTTTTTGTTAAAATTTGCTGTTTTTCTGTCAAATCACCATTTTTCAGAATTCTGCCAGAAATCTGCCAAAAAAAATCCATTCTGTCAAATTTTTTGTCAAACTCCTTTTTTTAACAAAAATTCTGTCAAAGTTAGCCGAAAATCGGCTTGAACGGTCACCATGATGTCATTCTTTTTCTCACTCTCTCTCTCCCTTGACAGCACATAGGGACCCAACAGTGAAATGTGCCTTTAAGAAGAACATACATGTACATCTAGGCACCTTGTATACATTGTAATTCTTATTTTTGACAATATTATAATCAAATGCTGTTCTACACAGCCAAAATACTGAAAATCATCACAAATAAATTAGGAGAAAATTGAAAACAAGTGATTCCAGGCTGTGCTATGAAAGCCATACATGCAATGTTTCAACCAAGTAATTCACAGTTAAATGCAGGAAATTCAGGTAGGGACATCTTCGTGAATTCCTTGAAATTTTGCTTCAGCGCTATGCCGAAAACATGGGAAATATGTCAATCATAACAATGCATTGTAAAGAAAATAATCCCAAAACATATGTCATCTTCCTTCAATGAATTGATCCAATTAAAATTAGTGTATTCATTACTTTTCAACTTCACATTTGTATTGTTTGCACAGCAAAAGATAAAGTGGGTGAGATTGCTTACCTAATAGTCACACTACTATTGGCCTCTAATCCAGTTGCTTTAATGTCCAATTTCGAGTCAATCATGGACGACGCAGGCGTGACTGAAAGGAGTCTAGGCAGGGAAACCCGGGTGCAAAAGGACCGTACAGCAGACATCTGCATGGACAAAAGAGAGAGATATTAATCTGCTTTTTTACGTGGTTGAATTGCAAACTAGCGTCATTCCCAACTTTAGTTTGGACTGAAACTATAGATTCACAAAACAAATTTTATATGTATCCTGACATTTCGTTTTGAAATGTTGATCATGTTGATACGCCAACGAATCTGGAAATTTCACGAAAAATAGACATATCTGAAAAAGGCAGCACTTTCTGATTAGCCTATAAAGAGGGTGAGTATGCTTCTAGAGCAAAAAAAAAACCTACAAAAGTACAAACTAAGCCTAAATGTGAAAATCAAAATTTGGCAAAGTGCGACACCTGGACACGTTTTTGTACATGTGTGTGTGGCCTATGACCAGTAAATAGGCCACATATGGGGCTACCATATATAGCCAGAGATTTTGGGGTGTATTTCCGAGTGGCGGGGTATTCTGCAATTACTCCTCAACTTCAAACAAAACAGTGAAAGAGCAAAATGTCTAACCGCAGATCTCCGCATCACGACGATGAAACACATGAAAAACAGGCCAAGGGTGCCGCCATTATAATGCTATTCGCGCCTCGACTTTGGAGGGCGCTACACATTATCAAAAAAAAAAAAACATTCGCTTCAGACGCGTCGCGTCCAAAAGCGGCAGGCTACTTCTATTTAATTATTTTTCCCCAATTTGTATTTCAAGTCCCATTCTTCACCGTGTTCGTTTTTTAACCAACTTGTATCTTACCGAATTTTGGCGACGATTCTCTCTTCTCTTATGGTCACTCAGGAACCTTTGAGGGTGGCCCCAATCGATGAACTCTAAGCTGCCGAGGGTGGCTGACCCGGCCCTGGTCAACGGTGCGCTGGATCATGAGCTGGGTTAGATAGCCCCATCGATGAGCAGTTGACGATCTTGTCATTAGATCGAGACACACTCTTGGAAAAAAATGGTCCGGTTAACATAGTTAACTTATTTCTTATGATGGGACTGCGGTTTGGCCGAAGTCAATATTGAGCATGATCAGCTGACTGATAAGGTTTACGTACAAAACCCCGAGCCAACGAGGTTTTTGTACAGAAAGCTGCCGAACCACGTTTTTTGCGAGAGTGTGTCCGTAATGCTTGTAGCCTGTCGGTAATGCTGAGCCTGCATACTGCCAAAGTTACCAGTGGCATCCCTACATTTTCTCGTGCAAATAGGACCCATTTTGGACCCTAATTTTATCCAATCTGCTCTTACATAAAAGCCCAAAAGTTAGGGAGATGATCCTCGGCTATATTCGCACGATTCCACCGATTTTTAAACTAGACGGTCTCGTTTTTTACAAAATATTGTGGGGGGGGGGGCACTTTCTATGTAAATTAACGACTCGCGTAGACATTTTTGAAACCAGTGGCGTCGCCAAGGGGGGGGGGGGGGGGGGGGGGGGGGGGGCACGTGCCCCCCCCCCTGGAAAACCTAGTGCCCCCCGAGTGCCCCCCCCCCCCCCATCAAATGCTGGTGCCCCCCTATCCTCTGCAAAATTCTGCGCGTTGTTAAAATCATTACCTCAAAAATAGCAATTTCTTGAGATATCTTCAGATAGAATTTAGCATCAAATGTGGCACCATTTTGCATCTAGCCCATCCTCCCCTTAGACCCCTCCCCCAGGACGGCGATCCGTATCCACCTAAGTGCCCCCCCCCCCATCAAATGCTGGTGCTCCCCCCCCCCTGTGCCCCCCCCCCCCCCCAGACTGAAAAGTCTGGTGACGCCACTGTTTGAAACCCTAATCAAAATTATTGCGCCCGGCCGCTGTCGGTCTTATTACGCAATTATATCTTCTGTCTAGACCCCCCCCCATAGCCCCCCCCCCCACCACCACCACCACCACACCGAAAAATAATAGTAATTAAATACCGTTTAAAAATGTGCTCGTTTATTCAGAAATTCATGAAGCATATTCAAACTGATTGGGTGTTTCCAAAGTGTCTTTCCCATTTGCAAAAGTTCTTTTTGAAAGCCCATCAGCCATTACATACTAGAGACACACTCTTGGAAAAATGGTCCGGCTAACATTGTTAACTTCTTTCTTATGATGGACTTGCGGTTTGGCCGAAGTCAATTGAGCATGATCGGCTGACTGATAAGGTTTACGTACAAAACCCCGATCCAACGAGGTTTTTGTATAGAAAGCTGCCGAACCACATTTTGCGAGAGTTTGTCCGTGATGGTGTAATTATCAGTTATTAAAGTAGAGGCTAGTTTCGTTATGGTGGTGACGATGTATCGATCTGCATCGTTAATAATAATAATAATTAATAATTACGGACATTTTTACCGCGCCATTATCCGCCATAAATGACGCTCATGGCGCAAACAAAAATTATATCAAATCAGAAATAACAAAACAGTTAATTTAACTAAACAAGAATATTCTGAGTGGTCTGAAACAAATAGGTCTTTAGGGCAACTTTAAATTCAGAAAGCGATGAGATGTTGCGAATGGCGAGGGGTAGTTTGTTCCAAAGATGAGGACCTGCGTGAGAAAATGATCGATCAACCCAGATTTGTGAGTGTGAGGGACAACCAGCAAAGAAGCATCAGAAGATCTCAATCGCCTGGATGGATTATATGGAGTTAATAGGTCTATGTTGTATTCAGGAGCTGAATCATGAAGGCAATGAAAAACAAGCAGTAACAGTTTGTACTTAATCCGGTCAGCAACAGGGAGCCAATGCAGAGACTGCAAAATCGGGGTGATATGGGTTCTAGAGGGTGTCAGGGTCACAATTCGAGCGGCAGAATTTTGGAGTCTTAGACGTTAGACTGGTATAACCGGCATACAGCCCAAGGTGTGGTGGCTGACTTCAGATTGTTCTTCAGTCGATGAAACCCAAAGGGTCCGGCGATGCAGGTTCAGTTTTGAGCTTATCCCAATTTTCTAGGTTGGGTTTTATAACCAATCATGATCTTCATATTTATAACCTCCCCCGTCCGTAGTAGTTCTTTTCTTTGTCTGTCGCTATTTTGAGATGTTTTCTTGCATATTGCTGGACCGTTTCCATTTTCTCTGCGTCCTCACTATGTCCATTGCATTCGTCTTCAGGTGGCAATCAATAAGTCGCCAGGTAACTTCAAATCACGGCCCACCATATCAACTCGCGAGGTATACACCCCATTGTTTCATGGATTGAAGTTCGGTATGCCGTCCTGACGTATGGTAAGTGTTGGTCCCAATCACGTTGGTTGTCTTCCGTGAACATGGACAGTACTTTAGTACTTGGTCAGTTGGTGGTTTCGGCATCTATGTTTCTGTCATGCACGATGTGGTTATAGTAGTTGTCTTAGGTCTTGTGCGTCACAGAGTCAGTGATGTGTTGGGGCAGGTCATTCCATAATTTAATGGTCCTTGGGGGAAAAAAGTTCTTGAATGCATTTGAGGATGTTCAAGTTGTACTATGTTGAATAGGTTGTTGTTCCCCCTCCTGATCTCTGTACTTTTGGTTGAAGATAGTCTGAAGCATCGCTGTAAACGGTGTGAGTGATTATCTTGTGGAGTTGATCGAGTCATCTGGTGGGTTTCCCTTCTGTCAGTTGACTTCTCCCATCCAAAAGACGATAACCTGTTGGAGACACTACTACTCTGTCTTGCGTGATCTCCATGAATTATGTATAGGTTTCCCCGGCTATTTTCAAACTGACGGTTTATCATTCGCTTCTAATGTTCAAATTCGTCAATCAACATCGATTTAGTGCACTTCCAATGTTTAATTCGTCCTCTGTCAGGCAATTTCAAATGCACTTCACAAAATTTCAAACAATGAGCACACATTTTTGTCCAGGAGTCTCGTCCATGCTAAAACTTGTTATTCAGAAATCAAATTCGTCTATTATCATTTCAACACCATTCTACACAATAAACAATCAAATCATCCTGATTTTGGTATTTGTGCTTGCAGCAGCAACCGGGTACGACGACCCAATGTTTTAATTACATCTTTCAATAATTCGAACCTTTAAAGACTTGATAGTATTTACAGAACTATCATCTATTATCTAGGCGTAAGAGCCTTTCATTATAGACACATTTAAGTGATCAATTAATTATACAGAATTATACCTGAGACAACACTCTTTTTGCAATTGTTATGATTAATTCTAATTATTCGTACCCCATTTGATATTATATTTAATCTCATCGCTGTGATGACTACCAGGTACGACAGTGTTTTAATAACGGTCATTCAATAATTTGAACCTTAAAGACGTCTTGATGGAGACAATATTTACAGAACTAGGGTCTATCATTTAGGCGTAAGAGCCTTTCATTTATCATATTTGCGTAATCAATACTAGAATTAACCTTGAGACTTCCCTCCTCTTTACAATTGTCATGGTTATTTCTGAATAATCGTTCCACATTTGATATTATATTAAGGCAAGCTTTTCAGAATTATCTCTTTTGGTTTTGTACAATACCAGATATCTTCCGCTGAGGATAAATCACGCATACTATGGTGCATGTCTATTCAGACTTGTTTGCGTTCTGAACGCATTAGATCGCTAGAACAATTCTAGCATCTCATCTAGTAGATCTGATCTTTATGAATCTTACTGCCAACCTGTAAATCTCGTTTTATACCTCCGTCAGAAACTACTCCGACCATACCTTGATTGCCACTTGTGGATTTCATTTGAACCTTTAAGTTTCACAGAACTTTCCTTTAGGCTTCAGAGCCTTTAGCTAAACTTAATTGAATAATCGCAAGATACCACTCATCTATTACATTATGGCTGTTTCTGGAATTGTACCCCATCTAACATTGCTGTGTTGACTGCCAGATACGAAAAACCAAAACCATATTTGGAAAAATGGAAACGTACACCTGAACTATGCAAGACAACTCCTTCAGGCAAGGGTAGCAATGTTCGTCTCTTATAAATACTGTTTGAGACATTGAACAACTATGAAATTACAACCAGACTTAACAACTGTGTTAAAAATTGTGTGTTGTCGTTGCTGCTCGCAAGCGTGAAGTGATCTACCTTCAATCCAACCACGCACACATTCCTGTGCCACTCCCTATTCAAATTACGCGCCCTTAACCACTCTACCGTGTCTCATTTACATATCAATGATAAAGCAGATTTATTCTAATTCGTCCCGGTACTCAACCGAATAAATCAATATTTATCATTTCAACACCATTCTACACAATAAACAATCAAATCATCCTGATTTTGGTATTTGTGCTTGCAGCAGCAACCGGTATGAACTATAAAGAACGGGTCTGTAATGCTGAATCCCCAAAAGGATTTAGATATTTAACATCATATTGCAATCACTCTCTTGGATATATTAAAGTATCCTTCTCTGTCTCTGATATGGCGTCCATGACGCTTGAACAGCCTGTTGGATATCTGCTTTGATAGCCGCTAAGACTCAAACAGCAGCATGGGGCTGCTCTGTGAAAACTCTAACCTTCCCTCTCAAACTCTCGAGTACTTCATCGGTTTATACCTCTATGAAATCACTTTATACTCTTCTTTAACATTTGTTTAAGTTTATGAACACAAAAGAAGGTCTTTATCTGAAGGGAAAACTTTGACTCACTTGACATACAATTCCAACATTGCAACTGTACATGTTGATAATAATTACCTCGCAATAATAACTGAATTCACATGGCCGAGTGCATGAGATAACACGTAAATACTTCAATTAAAGTGCGGCTAACTCACTGAGCCGATAAGACCCGGTATATGAAATAAGGGCCTTGACCAGGATTCTTATATGAAATAAGATGTGTACTGAACGGTCTTTACCCTATTTTGGCACTATCTCAGAAAGAATATCTGGTGTAATTGGATCTTTCTTTGGCTTAACCAGTGTTCTTGTCAGACCTATAGCGCGGTGTATGACACCAGAGGGTCTTTGGTTGTATCATGGTCCCCAACTAGCCATGAGATGAACCCATGACATGACAGCTAAAGAGTTTGTGACTGTAGGTGCATGGTGATGTTGCAGAGTTCCAATATGGATCAGGTATAAGGCTACCATGTAAGGATCTGCGGGTAGGGATGATATTCCGTGCAACTCTGCCCATTGTCGCCATCTCGTGAAGGATGATCTGTACTGCGAGACTGTTGATGGGGCTTGTGACTCGAGTAGCATGGAAAGCAGTTGACTGGCGAGACTATATCCAGCTCTTGACTTTTGGCTGATTGAGGACTCCGCTGCCTCCAATTATCGCTGTTGAAGATGAGCTTCCAAAAAGGAAAATAACAAAGATTGTTACTTTAACGAGATTAAAATCATGCATCAACTTACTAAACACTTTCTTTATTAAGTGCATTTAATTAAAAGCGCATTTCCCACTGCTTATTGCTACAACTATACTCTGAATACAAAAGAACAGCTTATTTGCCAAATCTGAATCATCATCCGCTGGGGATATCAATTGTAACGTTTACAATACCAAACATCCGCTGAGGATGTCACCATATTTTGGTGTAAGTCTGCTGAGACTGTCTTGTTTGCGTTCTGAACGCATCTCGTTATATACTTCTGTCAGAAACGACTCTGACCCTAACTTTTTTGCCACGTAAACCACTAAACTTTAGTATGGTGATACTCGTGGCTTTCATATTAAACCAATGGGGTTATCTTGGCCAAGATTAGGCCAAATAATAAACTAGGCTGACCATGCATGTTTCCATAGAAGGGTTAACTTAAGGCCAATTTCACTGCCTTCGATTCTCTCCGAGTCGAGCTTCGAGTCTTCTCGCTATCTGACCGATGCCCAAATATTCTATTGAATCCCTTTTGTACTGCCAGTGCGTCCAGCGTCGGTGGAACAGTTTTGAAACTGGAGGAAATTTTTCTCCGAACAAGACTAGTGAACTTTGATGAGAAACAGATGTAAATACATCAGTGAAACGGGATTCTAAATACCTTTGGACTTTATACGAATCTCAAGTCAAGCCTACTAGAACTAAATCTTCTCTCTGGTTTTGAAGGAACTGGCAAACTCAATCATCGTCTAAAAGACATCTTGTATTTCTACACTTCTCTGTCTTCGCACTAGACAAAACCACTTTGCTAATCCAAATACATTCTCCGCTTAAGTTAAGCATGTGCTCTCTGACTTTCTGAAAGCAATTGTTATAAAATGGAATAAGCTGGCAAATCTCTAAACCATCGTTAAGCAAGTCATCTGTACATGACATGTATGCATAATTCTGCATTTCTCACCTTCTGAACCAACTTCTTCACCACTTCAACCCCGTTTTGAGCATTTTAGAACCAACCACTTTTGGTTTGAGCACTGTGCTCTCTATTCTATGGCTTTCTGAAGGAAACTGGAGTGTCCCAAACTGTCTTCTAAGACAACTCTCCTTGTTCTTGCAATTGCCCCTTTTTCCAGCGATCGTACTATTTTGGTACAATTTAAAGACACATATGATGGTAGGAATTGGAACAAATTGGAAAAACAAAATTTCTGTGAAACCCAGGAAAACCTGATTGGTCAAACGCTCAAAAGGTGATATTTAAGATTTTCAGATCAAACTTCAACGTGAATCAATACGTTGTCAAGGAACAAAGAAATATGGGCGTATCACCAAATTTGACTGATTGATGCCAGGGCTATCTACTCCCTTTTCGGACGACATTCACTTGTTGTCACTGAATTGAAACTTACAAAGGATTAATGATAAACGGCTTTATTATGGGTTTCCAACAAATTGTATATGGCAGAACATCGATTCAATCTAGGGCCTATATTTCGTCTCAACAAGTAGAGTGTGGGTTTTCTGAAATTGACCATTTTCTGAGACTGGTTACATCTTATAACAAAGAACTAGTGTAAAAGTCCCCACAATTCACGATGGGAAAGTAAATCTCCAGAACACTCTTCGTTCGGAACCAGAAATCTCTCCGTTCTCAAAAAAATCATCTGTGAATTTCAACATCTGCAACTACATTTTTGCAAATTAAAAAGACTGTAATTTAACTTAGCTTCGTAAACTGGCTTTCTGCTTTCTGCTTTCCGATCTTCGGTCCATCTGCTATTGACAACTGTCTTGTCTTGATTGATACCGATGCAGGGGCGAGCTCTGTTGTCAGTAGCCTTGAATGTAATGTAGCTTCTTAAAATGAGATGTCGAATTGACTTTAGGAGAGCAAAACTGCCATCTCTCCCATTTGCTGATATAACGCAATGGAAGTACAGCGCCACAAAAATTGTGTGTTGTCGTTGCTGCTCGCAAGCGTGAAGTGATCTACCTTCAATCCAACCACGCACACATTCCTGTGCCACTCCCTATTCAAATTACGCGCCCTTAACCACTCTACCGCGTCTCATTTACATATCAATGATAAAGCAGATTTATTCTAATTCGTCCCGGTACTCAACCGAATAAATCAATATATTGTTTTGTATCAGACGAATTCGATCTCTGAATGATGCCATATGGCAACAGCTTATAGTCAGGTGGCTTAGCGCTAATTATTGACAAGATCGTGACCGACTGGTCCAAAGCACCAAACTTGGCAGATAGATTCTTATAGCCCTAGAGAAGATATTTCGAAGGAGTGACACCTGAAATTCTTTTGGGAAGGGTGCCTAATTTGCATAAATCATAAATACCTGCCGTGTAATGTATGTGTTCCCATATTAGGGTATACTTTTGATTGATATTTTTGAGGTAAGGATGTGTAAGTGGAATCCCAAAAATATACTTTTCAAAAAATAAAAAAAATTAAATATACCAAAATATGGGAATAAATATATTACACGGCAGGTATTAAGATTTATGCAAATTAGGCACCCTTCCCAAAAGTATTTCGGGTGTCACCCCTTCTAAATACATGTATCTTCTCTAAGGCTATAGGAATGTATCTGCCAAGTTTGGTGCCTTGGACCAGTTGGTCACGATTCCTCCCATATACCTGACTATTAGAAGAATTTGATCTGTACTGACGAAAATTCTCGACCCAGTTATATAAAGAGGGTGACCAAACTTCGAAATGGAATGGAAAATGACTAAGTTGATTTTGTTAAAAGCGTGTGAATTGTTTCGCGGACGAATTTGAATGTTAGAGTTGGTGAATTTGGATGAAAGTGTTTTAAAATAGCTGGGGAAACCTTTATTATTGCTTCAAACGTTCAACCGTACCATCGGATTGAGGATGAAGTACTGTGGTTCGAGTCTTGTTGATTCCAAGTAGCTGACAAACCTCATAGATAGGGTTGGCGGGCTTGGGGGTTGGGGGTGGGGGGGGGGGGTAATTTTAAAAAAAAATCGGTATTTGCGTTGTGGTCAGTGCTTACATCTAGTCTTCATTTTGTTCAACTTCATCTCTGCACACGGGTTTGGCTGTGTAAACATGCTCTTCATTGTCATTGTCGTAACATGATTTTTTTCTTTGTCGATATACTTCTGTTTGTGACCCATCAATTCTTCATTCTCTTTGCAATTAAGCAAGACATCATTTCGCTCTGAGTCATTGATGGCTGTGGGCTTTGGTGTGATGATCAAGCATTTCATGGTCATTGTGATCATTCTTTCGCACTGATGACTTCACCACATGACCGGCGAAATAAGTCATCTGCATTACCGTGCTGCCTGCCAGGTCCGTGTTGTAAAGTAATAATAATAATAATAATAATTACACTGTCTACTAGCAATCTTGCCGTCTGACCTTTTGGCCGGCTCTTGAAGTTCATAAATAACCAACTCAATGCACCATGGTCTGTACGTCACTTTTCTTTTTTGTAAATGCTGAGTGCTCAAAATTTGTAAAATGTGAAAGACATTTGGTCTTCTATTTAACTTTCAGTTTTCACCTTATGACCGCCACAAAATTATTTCATAAATTTGTCCTCAGATGTGTATGTTTGAGTATACCGAGTTGCACTATTCCGCATGTATTTTAGATTTTCGGAAGTGAGAGGTAAAGTTTTGGCACGATATTTCGTTTACGTCAGGCCATTTATACATATTGTAGCGCAACAGTTAATATTGGCGCGCTAAGCTCACAATACATGTAGTTTAATTGGTTGGTACCCGGACTTCTGTCCGTTTTACAGCGCGCGAGTTGCGTGGCTGGTTGGTACCCGGCGCGGGTATATAAGCGCGTGTCGCGCGCGAACTCGCCCTCTTTCATTTTACTCGTCAGTGGATTGCACTCTTCCATTGCGCTGCTCACATTGTGTGTTTTAGCTGTAAATTGTGGCGCGAAGCGTAGCACAGTACTCGCTCAGAGACTTGGAGTTGCTAAAGCGTGTGCAGTACAGCTGTGTTCAGTCTCTCACTCAGGAAGAGCACTGGTTTAGTTCCGGTGAGTGCAGGGATGAGGAAATCTGATTGGTACGGGAAGCATTCCAGTTCTTGACGCTTTTTGGAAAGGGACCAATTCTTACACCTGGTCAGGACACACCAGTAGGACACACTTAAGTAGGACACACCTAAGTAGGACGCACCTTATTGGGTCTTCAAGTGGTTATAATAAGGCAGTGAAGCCCTAAGTACTCAAGTGTCTGATCTATTCATTGGACGTTAACCCTCCCCGAGTGTGTTCGTGAGGTTTGCGTGAGAGCGCGAGTGAGTGTGTTCCCTGCGCGCCTGGCGGTAGACTGCCCCAAATGGACCTGTTCCCCCTGGCCTTCCCCACAGCCGCTCGTCAGGTCGGCAGAGAGCGATATCCAAGGCATCGTCGACACGAGACCGCCACAAATGGTGTCAGAAGTGGGATAGGTGCTAGGATTACACAACACAGAACCCATCACGAACTACGAGTTAACAATCACCTACCTAGGAACGAGTCACATAGATAGGCGTCATGGACAAGAAACAAGCAAACCAACCTAGACCGGTACTAATTGAGGAACTGCGAGCGACCGAGGATGCGGCTGAAACTTCCCAGTACGCTACGCGGAGGAGCAACAACGCCTAGAAGTTGAGACTGAGAAGCTCTGGGCAAAATTTGGTCGACTCCATGAACAGCTAGACAAACTCAAGAGTAATGCTGACCCAGAAAAAGGGTGGTCAATGCAGAGAAATTTCTCAGCAGGTGCAGCCGGAAGAGCATCAGAGCTAGAGAAGCAAGTTTCAGGCGAGGACAGGTCTAGCCTAGATAGGCGAGAGCCGGTGGTTGAAGTGAAGAGAGAGGACCGTTCACCTGCAGAGTTGAAGCGACCTAATATCGTACCAGATCGGTACAACGGCAAGACTGTATAGGGGGAACTTTTTGCAGCATTTTGAGGTGTGCAAACTCGCGAATGAGTGGACGGACGAACAAGCTAAAGTCTTCTTGGCTGCGAGCTTGCAGGGGATAGCGGTGAAGGTGCTATCAAACAGTCCGGATGGTAGTCAAACGATGACGTATAAAGAATTAAAAGACAGGCTGGAGAGGAGATTCGGACCGGGCCAATTGTCGGAAAACTACTTGATGGAGCTGCGTTGCAGACGACAAGGGCCTAAAGAGACACTGAGGGAGCTAGGTCAGTCAATCAGGCGGTTGGCCACGTTGGCATATCCTGATATAGCAGACGAAGGGAAGGATCGCCTGGCAAGAGGCCACTTTTCGGATGCGATAGAGGACTGTTATGAAGCTATCTGAACCGGCCCAAATTTTTGTCCTTTTGTTAATTTGCTACGAGCTTCGCATAATGGAGTTCTTAAAATACTTTGTTATTTAACTCTTATTACTCTGTGTGTTATAAAAGGGCTGGGCTCCGGGCACGCGGTGTCTGTGTCCCTCAACGTGCCGTCGGGCTGCTCGGGCCCACGAAGCTGTATTCGAACAAGTTGTTAAGTTGCTTGAGTTGTTTTAATTAAAGATAGTTGGTTATGTTCTGCAAACCTGTCTTCAACTGTCTATCTGTTCGTGGTGTCGATCTCCTACGTGGCGGCCATGCCATACCGCGCTGCCACACGGCCATAACAGGACCAAGCCATTCGTGAAGGAACTTCAGGACACAGCCAAAGACACTCGATGAGGCTATAGGGCAGCAATGGCGACAGAGAGTTTCCTCAAGGTGGAATAACAGAGGCCCAGTCGCAACCCAAAGCACGCACGAGTACTCGAGGGACAAATTGACTCTTCGGTAGAAAAGCTGGAGAATTTCGTAGGAAATAGCCAGAAACAGATGGCAGAGGCCGTACAAAAAGCTCAAGAAGAGACGAAAGCGTGGGTGGCTAACCTAGTGCAAGGGAGACCTACAGGTGCAGGGAACGACAAATCAAACATGACAGAAGGCGTTCCGAGTACCTCTTATAGGAGACGACCTAGAGAGGACATTGTGTGCTTCAGGTGTGATAGGAAAGGGCATTTCGCTCGTGACTGCAAATGGCCGCCAGCAAAGAGACACGGGTCAGGACACGGATTGCAGCTGACCCTAAGGCCCGAGGGAAAGCTGGGAGAAGAAGAGGGCCACAAGACCGTCGTCCACGAGACAAACCAGTAGACAAGGGTCATGTAATTACCAATTCGATTGCAACAGCAGAAAGAGTGAAAAGGGGCATGTTTGTACCAGCAGTGGTGAGGGGACAGCAGGCAAAGCTTCTGGTGGACACCGGGGCAACAGATACGTTTCTGTCATCTACTATCTACCACAAGATCTCGCCTGAGAATAGGCCACATCTTTCTAATGAGGGTTCGTGCATTAAAAATGCTGATTGTTCGCGGATAGTGACTTTAGGTAGAGCCTGGGTGGAGATACAGGTGGGAAGAACCACACATCCAGTGTACGTGACCTTCGGAAATTCACACTCTATGGATGGCATTCTGGGTATTGATTATTTGTACCCAATATATGGGTCACTCAACTTTATCCCACTTGAGCTCACAGTAAATGGAGAACGGGTGAAGTGCAGCGATGAGTACGCAGGAGCAGCCGGGGGCAAGAACCTATACAGGCCAGGCCATAAGGGTAACCCAAGCGTTGAACAGAATGCGTGTGTGGACGTGCAACGGAATGCCCGAGCCAGTTCTTTAACTAGCCATGAGAAACTAACGAGATTAATTTCTTTTCGTCATTGTCAGGAGGAAAACATGGGTCGAGACTCACCAGCGAAGAGGACTCCACTGGACCTACACGAGGCGAAGACAATAGACTGTTCAAAATGCCACAGTGTGTTCCTACATCGGAGGAGTCTGGACCGGCATCTGACAGTGGAGCATGGGCCACGAGTGTTTTATTGGTGCCGGCAGGGTACACACAAAAAGCATCGGCAGGATAATCTTCTGATGCATTATAAAGATTGTCATCCGTCTTGCCTGGCTGAGTTGAATGGGATCAAGGCTGAGTCCTATGAGGACAGGGAGCGTGAGGCGCATACCAGGAGCGAGGCAGGAAGGCATCGCCAAGAGGACAAAAAGTCACCTAAAGGTAAACGGGATGAACCAGGTTCCTAACTGGAG